CAATCTCCCAGAAACAGCTAGCAGGACTCTGGTAACCAACTTTCACCAGGATGCTCATCTGGGGTCCACACAACTTTCTGAGTTGCTCAGACCAAGGCATATTATACCTAGAATGGACAGCCTAGCGCAGGATATCTCAGCCAAATGCCAGGTTTGTGCTCAAGTGAATCCAAAACAAGAGAGCCCTTACCAAATGAGAGACCAACACACCAGCAAACTCTGGGAAAACTGACTTCGCCCAGATCTGGCCTGGTGGGGGAGGACGAAAGTACTTGCTAGTTTTTATAGATACCTTTTCCCAGTGGGAAGAAGGGTTCCCCGTCCAGATGGGAACTGCTCAGATAGTAGCTAAAAAGCTCCTCCAGGAACTGGTCCCCTGATTTGGCTTCCTCCCTAGCAATACAGTCTGACAATGGCCTGGCTTTCACAGCCAAAACCTCTCAATTAAAAGCTAAAGCTTTAGACATAGAGTGCAAACTTCATTGTGCATATAAACTTCAGGTAAAAAGAATAAACACGGTATCAAAAGAAACTCTAACAATACCCTGACCACAGCCCGGCAAAAGATGGGTTTCATTTGCTTTGCTTCAGCCCGCTGCACCTCCTCTAGGGAGGGATTTGCCCCTACGAGATTAAGTTTGAAAGACCTCCCCGACTGCTTCCCAGGCTCAGAGACCAGCAGTTGTCAGAACTCTATAACCATTCCTTTCTCAAGACACTACAGGCCCTCCAGTTCCTCACACAGGCTCTTCACGATCTGAGAGAGCCAGCTGACCTCTGAGTCCACCACCAGTTTTCCTTTGTTTGAGTCCAGTGACATTGTCTGGGTCAAGTGAGTAGCCAAAGAGGCACTGGAACTAACCTGGAAAGGACCCTGTAAGGCGGTTCTCTTCACTCTTCTAAGGCAGTGGTGGTAGCTGGCATTACATCATGGATCCACCACACTCAGGTCAAGAAAGTGAAAGTCACAGACATTGCTACCAGATGGATTGTCTCCGGACTATGGAGCCATTGAAGTTAAGGTTCTATTGGGCTCCAGGCACTTCCACTCCCCGCCCTTCTACCTCCTCCCGAGTCTTACGTTTTGCACTATGGGTGTGAATACAGGGACAAGGTCCAACCCCCACCGCCCTCAGACCTGGATTGGACTCAATTTGACTCATTCACATGGGGAATGTGACAGGCTGCAAACCATGGTACAGCTGCCTCCATGATGAAAGTACCATTCAGGCAGTAGAACTCAGCACATAGACAGTACTACCTGCCAAAACTAAACCAAGAACGAATTCATCCAAGTCCACAGATCTCGGAAATTCTCTAAATGTACTGACCTTGCAATTTGGCTTCTGTACTTCTGCTTCTGACTAGCAGGTCTTGTTCACTGAAGTATGTCAACCCAGGCATAGCTTTTGTTTAAAAGCTCACTCAGAGAAAGGCTTGGGGCTATACTGGGATCCTGAAAACCCAGTGTAGTCACTGGTGGGCTAATAAAGGCTTTCTATTGGCTTACACCCATGTCAGAGCAGTCTTCTCTGGTGGATAATCCACAACATAAGTAGATAGTGTTTTATTTTTTTGATTGTTTTTTATTTTTTTGAGAAAGGATCTCATTTATCTCAGGCAGGTCTTGAACTGTGTAGCCAATATTGACCTCACTTTCTGTTCCTCCTGCTTCCATCCCTGGAGTATTGCGATTACAGGTGTGTTGCATCTGTTTATGCAGTGCTAATAGTTGAACCCAGGGCACTGTATAATTTCGGAAAGCACTCTGCCAACTGAGCTACATCAAGAGCCCTGTTCTCAGTTTTGTTTTGTTTTGAATACATGGCAAACTAAGGAAGACAGAATTGTTATTTACCTGTCTGTGTCACTAGCTTTGAATATTCAGAACTCACTGCTAAACTCATCATCCATTTCTTAACAGAAGTGTACCAGTCAGGAATTCGAAAGTGAGTGAGGAAGGGGAGAAAGGCAGTGGGAACTGGGATTTCTTTTGGACAGGAGTCAAACCTGAATGGGAATGAGCAGGATGCTCAGAACAGTGATGGCAAATCTGAATGTGGGAGTCTGGCCTCAGGCGGGCTGCTCAAACTTTGTAGACGAAACTGCAAGAGTGGAAAAGTAGGGTATCCAAATTCAAGGGACCACAGGGATTGAGGAATTGTGGAGAGAGAGGTGGCCAGAAATTAAGGGGCCCCTGTATAATGAAGCAGGTGAGAGGTACAGATGATGGTCAACCCCGTCTCTGGCTCTGCTTACTACCTCAGATTTCCTAACTAACCATTTCCCTCTCCCCACTATCATTTTATACCGCTGAGACTACACTTTGGCTATATCAAGTTAAATACACATTATTTTGGCCTTCTCAGTCAATAGACATCTGGTCCTATACTGGGTAGGCAGGCTGCCTCTGGGTAACACCTAAGTCCTTTAAGTTCAATCCAGGCAACAGAAACTCACTCTGGACATTTTGAGCAAGGAAAAAAAAAATGCAGGAAATATTTCTGAAAAGATTTTCCAGGAACTGATAACAGTGACTTCATGTGAAGCAGAGCTGAATTGGGAAGGGGGACTGGCTGAGGGAGAGAGGGCTCTGCAAGGTGGGGAGAGGGTAGACTGGAGTCAAGGAGAGGTATGTGGGTTGGAGGGCTGGCTTTGGTTTCCAGGTGCAGGAAACCACAGAGGACAGGGCATGAACAGACGCAGGCTTAGGACCAGTCTTCTGCCAGGCTGTGGAGTGCTGCCCAGTCCCGGCCATGAGCCTGAGCACCATTTGCTGCTGTTGAATCCTGGTGCAGGCTTGGGCTCCCATCTCCCTCAGTGGGCTCCTCCCCATGTCCTTATCTGTGTCATGCTGTAAAAAGCTCCCGAGATGGCGGACTCGTAAGAAAACACACATTATTTCTTCCCATTTCTGAAGCCTCTCCCTGGGGGTGCCCTGACATCACACCCCTTCTTCCTCCTTGGTCGGCGGCCTCCTGTCTTACTGTCTCCCGCCGCCCACCACGCCCCAGTCTCTTCCTCCTCTCCACAGTCCTCCCTCTGCCTCTTTGGCTCCTCTCCCCTCCTCCAGTCCTCCCCGATTTCTCCCCAGCGCCCCCTTCTCTCTCTCCTGGTACTACTCTCCTTCCTTCCTCTCCCCCTGTGTTCCGGCGCTGTTCCTCGTCTCCCCTTCTTCCTGTCTCTCTCTCTCTCCCCCATCTGCTCCACGATCTTTCACCGGCAAGCGGGCCAGAAACGCAGAAGTAACGTCAGCACTCCCACGGAGGGCGGCGGCGGCTGCGCGGGCGGCGCCGGGGGCGGGGCAAGCATGGCCCTGCGCGTGCGCGTGCGCGTGCGCGTGCGCGTGCGCGTGCGCGTGCGGCGGGCGCGCCAAAGAGGCTGGGCGGGCCGCCGCGAGCCTGGCCCGGGAGGCGGTGCTTGGCCGGTGAGGGGCGGGGCCTGGTCGGCAGGGCTGGCGCGCGTGGGCGTGGCCCGGCAACGTCAGTTCTCGTGAGAGCGGCGACTGGTGACGGGGTGGAGGGCGGGTGCGTCGGGACGGTGCGCGGGTGTGTTTGAATCTGGTCCGAGCGCGGGAAACCATGGGTCCCTGGTGAGGTGAGCGCCGCGCCGTGTCCCGGGTGGGCTACGAGGAGGACCGGGCGGCGGGCGGCCGCGGCGGGGCGACGCAGCCCGGCCGGGTGCCTTGTCCGCGGCCGTCACCCGTCCCGGGCGCCTGTGGAGTGAGAGAGGGGCCGCGGGAGGGCAGAGCAGGACCCTAGACCAGGACGGGGGGCCCACCAGGGAGGAGCTCAGCCTTGAACCCCGGCTGACGCGGGAGGACCCCGGAAGAGGGCCTGGGCACGACTAGAGGGGACTCCAGAACTGGACCCGGCCTCACCCGGGAGGACCTCAGACCAGGACCTGTACTTGGCGTGACGTAGGGAGGACCCCGAACCTGCGGACTGATCTAGGGAGACTCTTGGCCCTGAACTAATAATGAAAGAGACAAGTCAAGAAATGGAGTAGCATTCTGTGAGCCTAGCGGCTGTAGACGTTGCTTGGCACGACTGAGTTGCCAAAGGCATGCGCTGAAGTAAACAAGAACAGTAACCAGAATTAGGAGAGTGTTGATACGGGTCCTTTTGCCTTTCCTTTCCATTTTATTCATCAGAAAAAAGTTATGGTTCACAATTCGGCCATTTGAACTGGGGGGTAAAGTGGCTGTATTTAAGATTTACTTACGTGAGGAATTGTCAAATTGAGGTTATTTTCTACTTTTAGTCAATTAGAATGTATATTTACTGTGATTCACTGTCTCCATAATTACTGCCAGTAATTTTCCATATTCCTGTATTTGTAAAGATATAGGAGATTTTTAAGTTTTAAGGTGAGAGGCTGTGTTGCAAATATGCTGTCGCTTGCTGTCACTATCGTTAAGTTTATGTGTTTTGAGTAGGCCATCCTAGCACCAGGTGTAATGGTAAAATAGGATATCCTGGGAGATCTCAGGCAGGAAGGAGAATGAGCAAGGTCCCTTGAGCTCTCGTTATCCTGCAGGGGTGGAGAGGAGGATGCTGAGGGGAGGCACAAATACACCCTCTAACAAGCTCCCAGGTGACCTCAGGGCTGCTATTGTGATTTTCATTCCACGTAACAGTCTCTCACTTGAAAAACAAGAGAGCATTTGTTGGGTGGGATCTCGTTGGAGGAACGGCACTTTAGAAGAGGAGCCTGAAGAATTCAGCTATGAGGATCAGCTTGAACCAGTTGCATAAGTCAGTTCTTGCCAGCATTTAAAGAGAAAGTAAGATTCCCGAGGCAGTTCCTTAGCTGGTAGTTTCATTCATGGTTGTTAGTAAATATTTTTTTCAGATTATTACAATTTTGTGCCAGAATGTTAGAGACTGTCTTCCATAGTGGTGTAAAAATGTCTCATTCTTCTTGAATGCTCATATCAAATTAAATCTTATGGGATAATTTGCACATTTAAGTTCTGGTCTGATTGTATTTCCCACCAGGGTTGTAAAACAGGCTCCTTTAGAACAGTTTTATCTGTCATGGAAAAACGGGAGACATTTGTCCAAGCGGTTTCTAAGGAACTGGTTGAAGATTTTCTGCAGTTTGTTCAACTTGACGTAAGTTGTGTGATTTACTTTTACTATAGTTTTGACTCGGGATATAAATAATATTCTAAAATCATGTCACCAAGTGAAATACAGTTCTCTCAGTGAGATCTTAGGGGATGAATGTTTATTTTTAAAAAGATAAGTAAATTCTGTAGAATTAAATGGACCCACTTTGGGGCTGAGGTAAAAAGTAGAAGATAAACAGGAGTGAGCCAAAGAGCTCATTGAACTGAAGGGATCCCTAAGGACTGGAGAAGGCAGACTGTGTTTTAACCTGAAGAGGGCTGGCAGGGCCACGGTGCAGCGGTAGATGCAAGGAGGGGAAGGCAGCAAAGACGGGAAGCTGTATCACCTTTCTGTTGCCGCCATAAAACACCATGACCAAAAGCAACGTATAAAGAGCTTATTTTTGGCATATGCTTCCAGAGGGGTAAGAGTCCATCATGGTGGGGAGGTGTGCCAGCAGCAGGAAGCTGAGCACTCACATCCTCAACTCAAGCTTGTGCCGAGGAAACTAGAGGTGAGGTCAGAGTATATATGTAATGTCGAAGCCTGACCCTAGTGATGTATTTCCTCCATCAAGGCTCTGTCACTTGAACCTTCCCAACAGTGCCACCGACTGGGAACCAAATGTTCAGATACCCGAGCCTATAGGGAGGTTCAAAGTTTATCCAGTAGGCAGAGAGTAGCTAGCATGTAGACAGGAGAGGAACCAGGGGAGGGGAAACCGGGACAGAAGACAATAAGAAGAGGGAAGAAAGATTTGTCTCTGGGAACACATGTCTGCCTGCATGTGCAGAGCAGCTTGAGGGACCAAGCCAGGTACTGGAGAGTGTAATGCTGCTTAGCATTGGTATTAGATTTGCTGTGGAAGTTGGAAGCCTTCAACTGCAGAGATACTACCATCATTTGGTTGGATATAATGGTGAGTGACCAGCCTAGGTGTGGGAAAAAGATGACTGTCTATAGGGTATGTCCAGGGTGATGGCCATGAGACAGATTGACAGCATATCTGAAGGTCAGAGAAGTCTGGGTGCCATGAGCTATATAGGTGGGAGCTCTCTTGTGGGAGGGTATGGTGTAGGGTGTAGGAGCAGTGGGGGGACCAGAGTGCAGCCATGCACTAGTGCTGGGATAGATGGGCCTTTGTGCTGGGAGCCTTGAGCCAGCCTGACCTATCCTGATTAAGGTTATGCAGTGAGCTGGGCAGCGGTGGCACACGCCTTTAATCCCAGCACTCAGGAGGCAGAGCCAGGCGAATCTCTGTGCGTTCGAGGCCAGCCTGGTCTACAGAGCGAGATCCAGGACAGGCACCAAAACTACACAGAGAAACCCTGTTTCAAAAAACCAACCAACCAACCAATCAAACAAACAAACAAACAAAAATAAATAAATTTATGTGGTTATATTAGAATTGTGCCTTACTTGGTTTCATCAAATTGAGTGTTACAAAATGCCAATTTCTGTAATGGCAGTTTTCAGTAGTTTAACCTGATAGGAGCTAAGGAAAAGATGTATATCAGTTTGAGACCTCTTGGTTGGGTCTCGCCATCTGAGTGAATCACTGTGTTCTGACATGTGCATTACTAACAGCCACTACCTTGCAATATTGATGATAAAAACCAGAATGTTTATACACTAGCAGTTATAGCACGCAGAACACTGAGGCCGAAGAACCATGAATTGAGGCTTGTTGGGCTACGTAATGGGTTCCAGGTCAGGCTGGGCTACAAAGAAAGACTGTCGCAAATAACCTACAGAGCTTATTGGGGAAATAGGACTGGAGGCACAATACTAACATATTTTTGCCTGTGACACATTAAAGATAGGAATCTAATAAACATAGTAACAGGTTAAGTCACTAGGAAACACACATGCTAAAGGAAGTATGATGCTTTCCTTTGAGAAAATTGGGAGTTTATAGTTAGAAGTAAATGGCCAGCTTGCACAGAGCCTGCCATTCTTGTGTGAGAAGGGAAAAACCAAGAGAGCAGAAACGAGAAGGAAAAGCTAGCTTCAGACAGGTGGAGCATTAGTGCTTAGAGTGCAGTGTAGTGGGTGTGGGGGGGGGGGCTGTGATCCATGGAGGGGTGCAGCTAATGATTATATTTTTAAGAAAGTATCTTTGTTTTAGAAAAGTGCACCCCTATAGAGTCACATGCCTATAACTGCCTTGAATTGTTCCAAAACAAAGAATGATTCCAGGATAAAGAATACAGCAATTGGTAACCACTTGTACATTTGGAATTTTTGTGTATGGTTGTACTTGTGTGTATGTCCATTTTACATGGGGTACACATGTGGAGACCAGACGGCGGTCTCGGGTAGGTCTCAGGTGTCCCATTAGTCTGGAACTTGGCCGTGTAAGCTCTTGTAGGTAGCCCTAGAACTTCCAGAGGTCCTCTTCTCTTGTCACTCACCTCAGAAATCAGGAAGTACAGAGTCAGGCTGCCGTGCCCAGCTTTTTAGGTGAGTTCATGGGATCCAAACTCTGGTCTTCACAGGCACTTAACCAACTGCGCTGTCTCCCCAGCACTTTCTTGAAACTTTTATTTAAGCTTGCAATGCATTCTGGTATTTTTCACATGAGTTTTTAGTTTCTCTCCCTACGTTTCCCTGTCCCCCTGCTCCCCTTCCATGTGCCTCCATCCTCAGCATCTTCCTTTCTGCTTGCATGTCACATGTGTACTCCTGTGGTGCTCTCTCTTGCCCCCAGCACCACTTTCTGCCCTTCCACGGTCTCTTATGTAGCTTCACAGCCCGCGCCACTTTCACACCCACTTATATACATAATATATAGAAGTTAGAATCTGCGTATGAGAGGGAACAGGCAATTTGTGATGAGTCTGGGTCACCTTTGTTAATGCAGTACTCTGTAGATGTATCACTTTTCCTTCACACTTCATTTTTCTGTACAACTGAGCACAATTCTATTGTATATAACTTTGTTAAGATCCTTAAGACACGACACTTTAACCATTACTTTTAGTATATATTTATGTTTCAACAGTTGTCACAGTAATGCCCTTTATAGTCATTTTCCTGATCCAGGATCCAGCTCGGTGTCAGACTCTCCCTGTAGCTGTCACATCTCTTAAGTGCTCTTTAATCCAGGATTCTTTGCCTTCCTATGCTTGCCACAGCACTGAAGGTTTGAAGGAGTTGGTGGTCTTTTTTATTCTTTTCATATTAGCCAATCCCATCAGATCTAGTGTCTCCTCTTTGGCAGGAGCTGCTTAGCAGTGTCAGCCTCTCAGGACAGTCCTGCTATATGGGGGTCAGTGGGTGGGTGAGTAAGTGTGTGTTCACAGTCTGTAGTAGAAGCTTCGTGCTTTCCCTTTGTAACCATGGGCAATTTGAGGAAGCCCGTAACTGTAGATGACCTGCTTCTCAGCACACTTCTGTTTGTTTCAGTATCTGTGGATACTTCTTACCAGAGTCTGTTACTATGGTAGCCATAAAATTGTCATTTGTAAACTCTATATTTCTTTAGTATTTATTCATTGGTGCTCTGTAGCATATCTGTGCTATTAATGAATGAATGATTTATAATTTATTAACTTATCGTATAGTCTCATTGGTGCTAATTTTATTCTGTAGACTATAATCTATTATTGTTACTGTACTTGTACTTGGATTGTCCCAGAGCAGCTGCTGGAAAGGCCTCTTACTGGGTTTTGTACCTTTTGACAATGCCTGTTCTTACTGTGTCAGAGAGAGATGCGCAGTCTGCCCAAGTGAGAAGAGAGTCTAGCAAGCCGGAGGTCGTGGGGGACTCCCTGGCTCAGCAGAGACTGCAGTCTAGGGCTGAGGAGCAGGCGGGCGATGTGGACAGTCTATTTGGAGCACAAAGAACTGGAAGGAAGGGAATTGGAGCCTCTGGTTGCTGCTCCTGTTCCGTTATTTGCCTCTAGCATCTTCTGTACCTGATGACAGGCCTGGGGAGGGTGTGGACATTTTTATTGATTTTAGGGACTTTCAAGTGGGTGAAATTTTAAACTTTAAAGATCAGGTTCTAAGGAAGAAGAGGTAAAGGCGAGATTTGATGCTTTCTGCTTGGTAATTCTCTTCTTTTTCCCTGTTAGAAAAGGATTTGAAAACTAACCAAATGCTTAAACATGTAACTAATTTAGTACTTAAACTTTTCTATTAATACCATTATGAAAAGAATACAACTAATTTTTCATATTTTGTGTTTTCTAAAATTCTTTTTGCAGAAAGATTCTTCTGATCCTTTCAGCTTAAGTGAGTTACTCGATGAATTATCAAGGAAACAGAAAGAAGAATTATGGCAAAGGCTGAAGGACTTACTGACAGAAACGTTGTTAGAAAGCCCTGTGGATGGGTGGCAGACAGTGGAAGACCAGGGTGAAGATGGAATGGAATCAGAGCACAGTCCAAAGATGGTATTTGACTTTCAGAAATAAAAAACTTCCTCTTTACTGTGCTAAGAAAAGATCATTTATTTGAACTTTCTTCTTGAAAGAGTCTCATTTTCAGTCCTGGCCAGCCTGAAACTTGCATGTGTACCCAGCTGGCCTTGAACTCAGAGCTCACCTGCTTCAGTCTCCTCAGTGCTGGAATTAAAGACATGCATTCATCATGCCCGGCTTGAATAATTGAACTTTTAGGTTAAGAAAATGTGCAGTGTGCCAATTCCTTTCACTGTAATTTTACCTGCTGGCCAGCCCTGCTATTACTGTTCGGCTACTCAGTGTTAGGTTCTTTTAGGTTATTTGACTTATATTTAATTTTAGTCTGCTTTTTACAATAAGCTAGAGGTAGCTTCATTTCAGAAATTTAGTAGCTGTTTGATTTTTTTTTTTAAAGTTGAGTGTTAAGTTCCTTATTTTATCTCACTTATGTTTTAATTTTCTTTTTAACAGAAAAAGAGCATAGAAATAACACATGCAATTACATCTGTAATTCTTGCTTCTATATCTGTAATAAATGAACATGAGAACTATGGGGCCCTCCTGGAGTGTGCTGTTATATTAAATGGTAAGTGGCATGTTCAGTAGTGGGCACTAACATGACAACTTTGAAGAAGTGGTGACCTATTTTCACGAGCAGTGTGGCAATCTGAAACAAAACTTTAAAGGCATGTCTCCGCACTCAAGTTCTCTTCTGTCAGGGCCCCCTGAGGAACTGAGTTCGCTCGGCTGATGTGGGTTCTGAGTTGCTGACTACTGCTACTTACAGGTTCTTCAGGACAATGCCTGGACTCACAGGACTGATGATAACACGTGCTGTTGAAGGGCATATCTGACTGCAGATTTCTCAGTTTGTACCATGGCCACAGAGCCCAGGAATCTGCCGTTGAATTTTTTCTTAGAGGGTGACTGTTATCTCTGGAGTCATTGTTGATTCTCATAGTCAGTTCTTGTTAACTTTTAACTGCCTGTAAAGCTGTGATTATTAAACGGGTACACTAGTCTGACTTAATGAAAAACCTGGTTATAAAATATTTCCACAAAGTTATTTTATACACATAACAGTAGTTTTAAGGATTTCAAAGAACTGTCTTTGGAGTGCTTTGTTCACTTGGGTATAGTTTCCTGGAACAGATTTTCTTACAAATTCTCAGTCTTAGTGTCATTTGGGTATCTTTATGTTTTTAGGATGCTGCTTTAGTCTGATTTCTTGAAATTAGCATATTTTTTTCATTTTTAATATTTTATATTTTAGTTCAGTGTAGTTTTGTTTTGTTTTTTCCCCCCGAGACAGAGTTTCTCTATGCAACGGCCCTGGGCTGTCCTGGAACTGGCTTTGTAGACTAGGTTGGCCTCAAACTCAACAGCGCTCGGTCTGCCTCTGCCTCCTGAGTGCTGGGATTAAAGGCTTGGGCCACCAACAACTGGCTTTTAGTATGTTTTCAATCAAAATAGAATTACATCATTTTCCTCCCTCCAGCCCTCCCAGCTACCCTCCCTTCAACCCTCTTTCCATGTTACCATCCCAAGTTGATAGTATCTTTTTCTTTGATTATTATCTTGTTACCCCAGTCAGGATGAAAGTTAGTTTTCAAGTGCTTTGTGAATTTTACTACCAGCTTACTTATAGCCTCCAGGTGCCTGGTTAGACTATCATCGTAGTTGCTGCTAGACTTCCAGTTACTTTAGGAGCTTTATATTTGTATAATGGTATTCAGGCATCTGTGGGTAATTATGAGCACATTATTAGCAGTTTAATTACTGAACCTTTCTGTTTCTAAAAGCGATATTTTCTGTACTGATTGTTGTTTGCTTTGACTGTTTTACCACCTTTGCGCCTAACCCTGAGGCCAGCACATTGAGACTGTGGTGGGTTGGGGGTCAGGACCTGTCCTGTGGTGCTGGAGTTGTAGTGATATCAGGATGTATTAGTGTGAGGCTTCTGGGTCTAAAGTTCTCTGTTTTGTTGTACCTTCTTTTATTTTTATTTTTTTGAGACAGCGTTTCTCCGTGTAACAGTCCTGGCTGTTCTGGAACTCTCTATGTAGACCCAGCAGGCCTTGAACTTATAGACCTCCACCTGCCTCCGCCTCCCAAGTGCTGGGATTAAAGGCGTGTGCCACCACTGCCCAGCTTTTTGTACCTTTTTTTTTTTTTTTTTTCGTTTTTCGAGACAGGGTTTCTCTGTGTAGCATTGCGCCTTTCCTGGGACTCACTTGGTAGCCCAGGCTGGCCTCGAACTCACAGAGATCCGCCTGGCTCTGCCTCCTGAGTGCTGGGATTAAAGGCGTACACCACCACCGCCCGGCTTTTTGTACCTTTTTAAAAAATAGCACTTGTTAAGTCTTTTTAAAAAAATAAGTATTGGAATTCCATAAATGATGTTTGTTTGGCAAATTAAACTAATATTTGTCTAGCAAGGCCTTGGACCAGGTCATAACACTGCACTATTGAGTCTGAATCAGTAATAATTTGCTTAATAACAGAAAACCTTTGTGCTATGTTTCAGGTATTTTGTATGCACTACCTGAATCTGAACAAAAACTCCAGAACTCTATTCAGGATCTGTGTGTCAAATGGTGGGAAAAGGGCCTGCCTGCCAAGGAGGACATGGGAAAGACTGCATTTGTCATGCTGCTAAGGAGAAGTCTGGAGACCAAAACAGTATGTTTGCTTCCTTTAGGAAATACTTAGTGAGGGTTGGATTAGCTAGGAAGGGGTGGATCTATAGCTTCCCAGTTTAGAGATGTTTCTTACAAAGATGTATAGAGGTCAAGAGTGATACACAATCCATGGTGAGATTTAAAGTTGGGCCTTTTCTTGCGTGTTTTCCCCAGGGGTGTGGCTGCTGTCCTCTTTGTCCCATGATGGTGAAAGGGTGGTTACTCCAGCTCTGTGTCGTGATACTGTTCTGCAATGGAAAGAAAGCAGGGGTGCAGGAAGGACCAGAGTTTCCCGGACTGAGCTGTGCAGTGTGTTTTCCTGAGTTGTGGAGTGGAGGGTGGGAGGAGATAGCTGTGGCCCTCTGAGAGGTCGGCATGTCTTAGAGCAGGCTGGGCAGGTAGTCAGGAGTGTCCTGGATAAAGGTAGACATTAGGATTTAGGATTGTGGGAATTATTTCACATTATTGTGAAGTCCTAGTTGTGGCTGGGCCAAAGAAGAACAGTTTACAAGTTTGAGGCCAGCCTGGGGTAGGTGAGGCCCTATGAAAAAAACAAACAACAGTCCAAATGTTCTGTAGAACTACACAAAATATTTGCACATCCTAAATTTTTTTTCAGTTGTCACTCTCTCCTACTTTTTTATGATCCTATAATCTTCATTATTTATGATATAAAATATGTACTTAGCTTGAAATACGACTTTACTGTTGATTAAAGAAGAAATGACGGAAACAAGTTCTCCACTGTCCTCTCCTGTGTGGTTCTCAGGTCGCAGATGTGTGTCGGTTGTGGCGCATCCATCAGGCTTTATACTGCTTTGCTTATGATTTGGAGGAAAACAGAGACATTAAAGACATGCTGCTCGAGTGCTTCATAAATGTTAATTATATCAAGAAGGAGGAGGTAAGTGAGCAGTGTTTTTTCTTTTTTCTTTTTGGCTTGTTGATGGGCTATTAATTGATTATTTTCTCAAGTTCATGGGGTTGCTGTTTGTGTTGGGTTGTTTTGTGGAAAAGCCAGCATAGGGGCATGGTGGTACACACCTTTAATCCCAGCACTTGGGAGACAGAGGCAGGCAGAGCTCTGAGAGATCGAGGCCAGCCTGGTCTATAGAGTGAGTTCCAGGACAGGCACAACCAGGGCTGTTGCACAGAGAGAAACCCTGTCTTAAAAGCCGCTCTGCAAAAAAAAAAAAAAAAAATTGAGCTGTGGACTTAAACCACATCAATTGGACTGGATGGCCCTGATGGATCACATGCTTCCTCTCCCTGGCTTATTTCTATCATTAAATTGGATGGGAATAGGTGGGTTGTAGAGTACTGGAGGAGCCACAATTGCATTTTAAATGAAGAGTGAGTGTTTTATACATATGTATAAACTATATATTATACATTTTATATATATATAATATATCTATATATATATATATCTGTGCTGGGTGGTGGTGGCGCACACCTTTAATCCCAGCACTCGGGAGGCAGAGGCAGGCAGATCTCTGTGATTTCAAGGCCAGCCTGGGCTACAGAGTGAGTTCCAGGAAAGGTGCAAAGCTACACAGAGAAACCCTGTCTCGAAAAACCAATATATATGTACCTTTCATGGTGAAAAGTGGTTACTTGTTGGAGACTGCCATGGGGCCAGACTTTCTACATAAACATATACACATATGTAAGTGTGAGAAAGCATATCCCTATGGTTGAGATCTACTCTCTTTCCTACTTCTACAGGTTATTTTTTTTTTTTTTTTGGTTTTTCGAGACAGGGTTTCTCTGTGTAGCTTTGCGCCTGTCCTGGAACTCACTTGGTAGCCCAGGCTGGCCTCGAACTCACAGAGATCCGCCTGGCTCTGCCTCCCGAGTGCTGGGATTAAAGGCGTGCGCCACCACCGCCCGGCAACAGGTTATTTTTTGTAGAAGAAGTTGTCTTAGAGTTTCTGTTGCTGTGATAAAATACCACATCCAACAGCAACTTGAGGAGGAAAGGGTTTATTTCATCTTAAAATTCTCAAGTCACACTACATCACCGAAGGAAGTCAGGGCAGAAACTCAAAGCAGGAATCTAGAGGCAGGAACTAAAGCAGAGACCAGGGTGGAACACTGCTTACTGGATTGCTTCCCATGGTTTGCTCAGCCTGCATTCATTTTTGTTGTTGCTGTTTTGTTTTTTATTTTTTGAGACAGGGTTTTTAAACTTTTATGTAGTCCTGGCTGTCTAGGCATTAAGCATAGGTTATTGTTATTTTAATATTGTTGCTTGAAATGTCTTCTTTCTTTTTTAAGTGACAGGATCTCACTAGATGGCCCTGGCTAGCCTGGAACCCTCTGTGTAGATCAACCTAGCCTCGAACTCACAGAGATCCTCCTGCCCATCGTGGGCCAATCTCATGAGTGAACTAAGCAAGTTCACTGCAAATGGCCAGTTCCAGTTGAGATGTGCTTTAAGTTTAAAGTGCACATGGACTAGAGAACTTAACATGAAAAAAAAGGAATGTGTATTAATGATTTTTTATATTTATTATACTCATTGTAAATGATATTTTATAAATACTTCTATGCATGAAATATTTTTAGAGCTAGGGCTATAGCTAAGTGGTAGAGATCTTACCTAGCATATATGAGGCCCTAGATTCAATTCCCAGTCCTGCCAAATTTAAAAAAAAAAAATGTAAATAAACATAATCTTATATTAATATGGTTTCTGGAGAATAGTTCTGTTATGTAAGGTCACTATGTAGTGGTTATTGAGTGTGGACTGTGTGCCCTTGCTAGGGTGCAAGGTGACCATGAATACAGTGCATTTGGTTGCATGTGTCCTAAAAGACCAGTCTGTAGCCATTTCTCCTGAAGCAGTAGAGAAGGCTTCCAAAGATCATTCCTCAGGGCCTGAGCCCTGAGTAGAAAGTCTGGTCCCATGGCAGTCTCAAGTCCCCAGCCTGTAGGGCATATAAGATTGGCACCAGTTTCTTTGGCTCCACCAGAACACACTGTCTCTGACCCTGACTGTGGAGGACAGGTGCTCTTTGAGACTTCCGGGAAGCACGTGATGTGGCTTGAGGGAAGTGGCAGCAGCACAGTCACTGGTACAGGGCGTGTGTGGAGAGGGCTCGTTCCTAGGGTGGTTGTTACGATAACATCATTATTGGGAAGATGACAGGCATAAGGGATGCACCTTCATCTTCAGGATTGTGAGGAAGTTGGTGAGAATAAAGTTTAAGATGGGGTCAAACAAAGATTTCAGGCATTCTTTGGTTTTGCATTTTCTACTACCCATGATAGCCAGACTGAAAGGTTTATGGACCCATGTGAAGGTCTGTATGGCTGTCTGAGCTCTTTGAAGACAGACGCTCAGTGCAGCTGCTGTTCTACCCAAGGGAGGCATGTCTGTGGCCCCACAGGTCTCTGCTGTTGGGAAGCCACCTGTAGCACTTTCGAGTTCAACCCCTGTGCAAACATGCCACGTGATAGTGACACAGGCCTCTTTTTTTATGACTAGCTGACTTTGGATGTGCTAAACACTTAAATATTTGTTATTAGATGAGTTTCATTTAGCTGCACCTTTATTTATTTATTTGAGATGATGTCTGTTGCCAGGCTGTCCTTGATCTTGTCATACTCTGTCTCAGCCTCCCACGTGCCCAGCTTATTCTCATTTTTTTTTTTTCATTTACAGGGAAGAAGATTTCTTAGTTTTCTCTTCAGTTGGAATATAGACTTTATTAAAATGATCCATGAGACCATTAAAAATCAGTTGTCTGGATTACAAAAGTAAGTACTACAGGTTTTATTCTGACTTTGAAAGGTTCTCTTGGCTTATTTTAAAAGTTTCGTGTGTGTGTGTGTGTGTGTGTGTGTGTGTGTTGTGACTTCTTATTGCCTCAGCTTCCCTGTTGCAGCTGTGCACCACCACCCTGTTTATATTAAAATATTAGGTAGTTGTTTTCCTCTAATAAGTCATTTTTCCAGTAGTGCTATTGAAATTGATATTTTAACGTGTAGTTTTTAGTTCTCCTCTTTCCTTCCCTCAAGATGGTGTGTTTGCTGCCCAGGTTGGTCTCCAGTCTCTGGAGTAGCTGGAGCAGAAAGCAGGTGTTTGTCAGTTGTTTGACAGTTAGAGCTTTGTCTCATTCACAACGAAGTCCATGTCATTAGTATTCAGGGGACATTTTGAGTATAGAGTGCACCATCTAATTGAGTATGGGCTGAGCTGTGTGGTTGTGAGGAGCTGTGTAAGTAGGAAAAGCCAGAGGTATGACATTCTGGTACCTCCTCTGCATTTTAAAAAAGGCATTTCTTACATCTGAGGTAGGCTACAGTTTCTAAATTCCTTAGTGTCAGGTAGCTGTATAAGCACTGAGTTGGGATTTGATTCTAATCTGAGTGCCGAACTCTTGCTGTATTCTAGATTGCTTTCTCATATTTCCTTTTTTGTAAAATATTTTTGCTGAACTAATTTCTAAACTTAGGTGATTCTAAAGCTGAATCCTATTGTAACTTTTCCTGTATGTATAGAATTAGTGTTTTTAATGATTTATTTATTTGGGTATGGGTGTGAGTGTGCCATACCACACATGTGGAGGTGAGAGTTACTTCTCTCTTCCCACCAGTTGGCTTCTAGGTATTGACAGGTCACTGGGTTTGGCAGCAAGTGCCGTTACCTGTAGCTTGAGTTTTCTCTTAGGGTCCCGCCAATCCCCAGCAGTCTCTTAGCCCACTTATAAAATAAACATACAGATGCTTATATTGCTTACAAACTGTATGGCCATAGCAGGCTTCTTGCTAACTGTTCTTATATCTTAAATTAACCCATTTCTATTAATCTATAAGTTGCCACGTGGCTCGTGGCTTACTGGTACCTTACATCTCGCTTGTCATGGTGGCGGCTGGCAGGTCTCTCCCTCCCTGCCTTCCTGTTCCCTCAATTCTCCTCTCTGTTAGTCCCGCCTATACTTCCTGCCTGGCTACTGGCCAGTGTTTTATTTATTAACCAATCAGAGCAACACATTTGCCATACAGAACATCCCACAGCAGTTACCAGCTAAGCTCTCTCCCCAGCCCACATCTGAAGTGTTTGACTTTAGAGTTAGTTCTGAGCCTGTGTTGTCACTGTGTCCCAGGAAGTGGTAGTGTTCGTACTGAGGCCTTGACTGAGGAGTCTTCTTCAGCCTCCTTTCCCCAATCCTGTCATCCTCCTCTTTCCATCTCGGGCAAGTAACATTGCAGGTGATTTGTGAACCATATCCTATGTCAGTTTCCTCTTCCTAGGGCAGGAGAGTGACTTAAGGGTGGTATATGGTAAAGGTATAATGTTTAAATATGTATTAACATCTTTTTTTTTTTTAAGGTCTTTGATGGTGCACATTGCAGAAATTTATTTCAGAGCTTGGAAAAAGGCCTCAGGGAAAATGTTGGAGGTATTTTCATTTTATTTATTATCTGTTGTAGTCTAGTTACTTAAGTATCCAAGGGTGGGCTATTTAAAACTTGTGCCTAGTCTATCTGAAAATAAAGCTGATTAGTGATGCTGATAGAAATGTGACAGGCTGACTCCTGTTGTTGCCCACATGTTGAGGCATCGCCCCAGCTATCACCTTACTGGGATGTATAGTTTCAGTGAAGTCCAAGGGCTTGTGTTCCGTATTCTGTTATGTCTGGGTCTAGACTGTCCAGTTACTCCTGGTTATTGGGCTGTCGGAGTGTTGCTAGTCAAAGGGTGATGTGTTGCAAGTCGGGTGTACTGGGCTAAACAAAATGTACTATTAAAATAATTTGACCTGCCGGGCGGTGGTGGCGCACGCCTTTAATCCCAGCACTCGGGAGGCAGAGCCAGGCGGATCTCTGTGAGTTCGAGGCCAGCCTGGACTACCAAGTGAGTTCCAGGAAAGGCGCAAAGCTACACAGAGAAACCCTGTCTCGAAAAAACCAAAAAAAAAAAAAAAAAAAAAAAAAAAATAATTTGACCTGTTTCTTTTTTCTGTGTTTGTTCTGGCTACTTGAAAGTGTAAAGCTGCATTTGTGTTTGGACTGAGTTTCTGTGGATGAGGCTGTTGAGGACCCTCAGGTGCCTCTTTCTGTTATGTTAAGAAGTTGGTACCATTTGCTTTGATTATAGTTAACCCATCGCAGCTGTACTGTCTGGTAGGAAGATGTAGCTTTGCCATTCTCAGCCTCAATCGTCTGTCACCCCATTGTCTGTTTTCTCATTCTATGTTCCTGACTCTTCTCTGTGGAGAGCTGGCAGCGACGGTGGAGGTGGGAAGGCTTCCACAGGGCAGTGGAGTGCACTTGCTGATGATCATGCAGTTTCTGTCCACACTGCCTTTCTGCCTGCTTACACTCTATAGCTAGTATTTGCTACTTTCTTCTACATCTAGAGATCAAAAGTTACTACATTCTGCAAACACTTTATAAACTAGTTTAAAAGTGTGTAGTCTTTTTGGCAGGAGGGCAGAACCAGGGTATCATTCTGCATTATTTTAGTTAGCTTATTTTTTGTTTTTAAGTTTTTATAACTCATTTTGTTATTTTAATTATGTATCTCTGCGAGGGTCTATGCATGGTTTCATGCACATTGAGTTTCAGGTCTGTGGAGGCCAGAGGCATTGAATCCCCTGGAGCTAGAGTTACAGAAGTTGTGAGCCACCTGACACATGTCTGAGAATCGAACTTGAGTCCTCTGGAAAAGCAGTTCTTAGTCTCAGCTACTGAGCCATTGCTCCAGTTCTTCCCACTTCCTTTTGTTTTTTGAGTTTGGGCTGGTCTTGAATTCATGGTCCTCCTCCCTTGGACTTCTAAATGCTGGGAATTACAGGTTTGTTTCATCATTTTAATTCATATAGAAAGATAGATACATATATACATACGTGTGTGCATGTATGTATATATCTTTTTTTTTTTTTTTTTTGGTTTCTCTGTGTAGCTCCGGCTGTTCTGGAACTCACTCTGTAGACCAGGCTGACCTTGAACTCCCAGATATCCACCTTCCTCTGGCTTTCTGAGTGCTGAGATTAAAGGTGTGTGCCACTCCTGCTGACCATTTTTATTTTTAATTTTTTTTGTATATATTCTTTTTTTTTAACATTATTTATGTTTTGTACTTGTGTATGCATGAGTGTGTGTGCATGTGTGCTGTGGCATGTGTGGAGGTCTGAGGACAGTTTTCAGGAGTCAGTTCTGCCACCATGTGGGTCTTAGATACTAGACTCAGATTGTCTGGCCTGGCAGCAAGTGCCTTTTATCAGGATCTGGAAAGCTACTCTCATGGCTTTGCTTGTTGTTTTCCTCTCTATGTTTGTGCCATTGATGTGTCGGAGGTGCCTGTAGAAGGGAATGCCATATTCTGATTGTTCCAGTCTGTCTTTATGGCACATGTAACTTGTAGGACAGGTGGCATAGCTCCTGTCTCATTATTTGTCAGATAGCATGTTATCCCACATTCAGAGATGTATCACTGATGTCAGGGAAGGTCAAGATGTCCTTCTCTAAAGCCACTGAATTCCTGGCCCTGGAGTGCAGGGCAACACATAGTCTACTGGGCCTGGCTTTCTGTTGTCTTACCCTGTGGCTCTTTAGCATTGTGGGTTGTCAAGGAGCTTCTCACACACTTTTCCCCAGCACTTGTCCTAAAAGATCTCATTTTGGTCTCTGGAGTTCTGAGTTCCACGGTAGAGGCAGTTCCACTGCATTTCTGGAGAGGTTCTTGAAACAGGTTCAAGCTGGTGATGTTCATCCAGGTCAGTGTGACTGTTTTGAGGTCTCTCTCTGTCTATGTATACTGCTTTTTCCCAGCCTCTCCTTCATCTGCTGAGAGCTGGCTTCTGATGATCGTGGGGAGCTTACCTTGCTACATTGCTCAAACTCACCATCAGATAAAATAGAAGCAAACTAAGTGTGTTCTTTGTATTGAAACTGAAGGAACAGTGAGAGGTGTGGACATATAGTAACAGCTCTGACAGAATAGCCTAGGCTTTCTTAACTAAAGGAGGGATCCCATTCTTGCCTGCCAGTGCACACTGCCTGTGGGATGTCTGCTTGTCATTGCTCTTATTGTTTCAGACCATTGAAAATGACTGCATCCAGGACTTCATGTTCCATGGCATCCACCTTCCAAGGAGGTCTCCAGTGCACTCCAAAGTACGAGAGGTGAGTGAGGCACCTCTAATCCACCAACTGTGAGCAAATTTGTGGAGATTCTATTTCAGCTTTACAGGTCCATGTATAGGTAGTTGGTGAAAAGAAATTACTTGAAATACACTGTAATAGTAGTAAAGTAACCCCTGTCCCCGGTACTCTGCAGTTTCTACCGCAGACTCATTTCATAACTATAACTCCCATCATGTACTGGATCTCTAGAGCTCTATCAACCACAGTTGATATTGGGCCTCTGAGCTGCATCCCTGAGTTCTGGGCTGCTCCCATACCCGGGCACTCTCCATGCTGCCTCTTCAACTGTGAATTCTGTTTGAAGCTTGTCTAATGGAGTTACTGTTCTGCTGGGAGGTCTTGGGAATGAGGATAGTAGTAGGAATTACAGATTTAACCCAGGCCTTTGGCTCCTTCATCCAGTGAGGTCTCTCCTGAGCTGGGCCATGTTCATCCTAAGCCAAGAGGTTCCTGAGCTTGGATACATCAGATCACCTACAGGGCTTTTGAGCAACACTGGGCTTTGCCTTTAAGTTTCTGATTCAGTGGTACAACCAGTCTAGGCCCAATCCAAAGTGGTGCTTCTTGGCTGGCCGAGGATTCTGTAGGACTTGAGGGCCTTGTCTCTGCCCTAAACAATTTTGGAGGCGGGCAAGACTTATCTCCATAGGTAGTTCTATTTACTATAATGTTAGAACTTTTCTCTGAAGAAATAACTCATTCTAAAGAGTTGGGAGTGCTGGAACTTGATTGTTTTTGTCGACCTAGAGATGAACTCAGGACCTGTCCATGCTAGGCAAGTGCTCTTCCACTGAGCTACATACCAAGCCAGGGAATGCTTGAACTTGGAGCAGATATTGGGTTCCTCTCTTTAGTGGATCTTAGCACAGATTGTGATATGGAAACTGCCTGTAGTGACCAGGAGGTTTGTCAGGGGACAGCTTTGGGACCAGGGTGACATTGGTGAGAAGGGTTGAGGTTCATCTTAAAATAATTTTATTATTATTATTATTTTGTTTTGTTTTGTTTTTGAAACTGGGTTTCTTTGTATAGTCCTGGCTGTCCCTTTGTGGACCAGGATACCCTCAAATTCACAGAGATCCACCTGCCTCTGCCTCCCAAAGTGCTGGTATTAAAGGCTTCCTTCCTTGGTTCCTTCCTTCCTTGAAAAAACAAAATAGTATAGTATATTTAAAAAAAAAAAAAGGCTGACCACTCAACTGCCTTTTCACTATACTTATCAAATTAAAAAGATTTGAAAGGCCAACTGGTCAACCTCCATCTAAATCTAAAGGAAAAAAACAAACAACAAAAACCCACATAGCTAACTGGTCGACCTTGTCCCTTCAAGATTTAAAAAAAAAAACAAAAAAACAAACAAACCCACCATACAGTATTGTTGTATGTATTTGAAAAAACAAACAACAAAAAGTATAGTATATTTAAAAAAAAGAAAAAAAAAAAAGGACCAACCACTCGACTGCCTTTTCATTACATTTATTAAATTAATAAAATTTAAAAGGCCGACTGGTCAACCTCCATCTAAGTCTAAAGGTTGGTGGCGGGGGGCACACAGCCAATCAGTTGACCTGCATTTATTTATATATATTTTGTTTGTTTGTTTGTTTTGGCTAAATTTAAAAATTCATAATTTCACCCCACCAGTCAAAGGAGTTTCTCAGAATTCTGATATTTGATATCTTGGCAGTTTGTTTTTGCTACCAGCTCTGTGATGAAGAAAGAAAGGGTACACTATCATTAAGCCAGCTGGGCCTGTGTGCTTTAAGAGTAACTTTATGGCAAGTGAATTGTGTTTCTCTTAAAGTCTTTCTGTGAATTGAGAATACCATCCATACCAAAACATGATAGCATTGTACTCAAAAAGAAAACTCCACTAACAATGAGACTCATAAAAACAAATGAGTGTGGTAGTGTCTGTTGTAGTTCCATTGATCTGGAGGCTGAAACAGGATCATGAGTTGGAAGCTAGCCTGAGATGTGTAGTATGAGACATTTTCAAAAATTTAAAAAGAGAATGAAACCCTTCATTACAGAAACATGCTCATGCTGTAGTTCACTGAGGGTTTTCACTAATATATTTTCTGGAGGAGTGGATTCCAGTGATAAAGCAAAATTGATTTTTTTTTTTTTTTAACTTGAAGGGACGAGGTCCACCAGTTGACTAGGTTCAAGGGTCTGTACAGAATTGTGGGGCAATTCTGACTGTCAGAGAAAAAGATGGTCTGTTTCTGATTAATCATAAATTTTGGGAGGAAGCTAGTATCTCACTTAAGCTTGTGCTAAAAGGAGTATTCTTTTAGAATATTTGTAGGCACCTGTTCATATGCAGTCTTAAGGTAGCTGGTGCCTATCTCTGGTGGGTATTGGAGCCAATAGTTGGTTAATGAGCATTTGAATCCAGAAGAATCAGGCAAAGTCCTGTTCATGCTCCCCTCTTCCATTTTACTCATCAAGTCAGAGATCTGTGGCGGTTATGTGGCCATTGATAGGCTAGTAAGAGTTTAATTTTTAGCCAGATGGTGGTGGCACACACCTTTAATCCCAGTACTTGGGAGGCAGAGGCAGGTGGATCTCTGAGTTTGAGGCCAGCCTTGTCTACAAAGTGAGTTCCAGGACAGCCAAGGCTACACAGAGAAACCCTGTCTTGAAAAACTGAAGAAGAAAAAAAAAAAGGAATTTAATTTTTATATTTATTTGTTTTTTGAGATGAGATCTTGCTGAGTTGTCCTGGATGGCCTGTTGCTCCTGGGCTCAGCTTTCTTCTGTCTCAGCCTCTCAATTAGTGGGACAACTGCCATGGATCACTGGGTGGTAGACATTAGAACCCAGATGATATTAGAATTCAGGGCTGTGGATCGACACTTTAGCCAAGACTCCTTGTGATTTGTCTTGTATCTGTTGTAGGTCTTGCCAGAGAATGTTGCAAGTGTCACACTGGTGGGATGGAGCAGAATAAACCTTTCCTCTGGTTTCTTGAGTTTTTTGTTTGTTTGTTTTGCGATAGATTCTTGTAGCCCAGGCTGACTTCAAGCTCACCATTCTTCTCCCTCATCCTCCTGACGGGTATACCACTGCATCAGCCTCCTGAGGGGTACACCACTACATCTGACTGAAATGTTTACAAATAACTCCATAGCCTTTGTTTCCTTTCTCTTTCTTTGGCCTTTAGGTGCTGAGTTACTTTCACCAACAGAAAGTCCGTCAGGGAGTGGAAGAGATGCTGTATAGGTTGTATAAGCCCATCCTCTGGAGAGGACTGAAGGTAACGTTTAGTGTTTCCTGTGTAGCAGGTGCTTCAAATTGAGCCTCTGCTAATTCAGAAGCCTACTAAGGCGGTGGAAATGAGAAGGGAGAGGCTGCTTTATGACTTTTCAGAGCAAAATTTCTTATGTTTTTGCACTGTGTTACCTATCCTAGCCACCTGGGCTCAAGTGATCCTCCTGCCTCAGCCTCATGTAGGTATGCACCACCATTCCTGGCTCTCAGTTTTTATCCTTTATGAAGACCATTTCTTCGACCCACTTAACTTCAAAGGTGGATCAGTTCTCTACTGAATAAGCAGTTACTGTGACAGACAGTGCAGAGAAGGACTGACTGGAGGTGTGCACAAACATCAGTGAGGCTGGGTGGAGTCACAGCTGTGCCACCTGCCTTTTCTTACACTCTCATGCCTGAGACAAGGGCAGAGGGCAGACACTGAGTGTTTTGTTGAACACCTCGTTTTATACAGATAGAATCTGGTTTGACTAGAAGGCAGTAACCATCTCTTAATGATACAGGAGCTCTTGTTTTTTTTAAGGCTGAAATTGCGAAGTTTAATTAAATGCAGCTTTAAAGTGAGGAAGTTGGTCTTTAAGATCTGTTGACATTGAATTGAGAGTTTGGCTTAATTTAAGGATGACTTTACAAAGTTTGGCTATTTACTTACTTTTGTGATGCCAAGAGTAGAGCCCAGGGCCCCACACATACTGTGTATTTTTCCACTAAGCTACACCCACAGCCTAGTTTTGCCAATTTAAAGGTTAAAATAATCTTTTTATTTTTTGTTAAATTGTATTTATTTATGGGTGTAGGGAACATATGTGGAGGCTAGAGTACAACCTGCAGGAGTCAGTTCTCTCTACTGTGTGTAGTCCTAGGATTGTTGGGTGCAGGAGCACATGCCCTTGCTCTCTGAGCCATCTTGCCAGCCCCCAAAATTATCTCTGATTTGGAAATGAATTTCTGCTGAAACTGTGGAAGCATTAATTTGGGAACACTGGACTCTGTGGACTTCTGAAACTACTCCTGTTTTTATAGGCCAGGAATTCTGAAGTTCGGTCAAATGCTGCGTTGTTGTTTGTCGAAGCATTTCCTGTTAGAGACCCAAACTTCATCGCCGCTGAAATGGACAGTGAAATCCAGAAGCAGTTTGAAGAGCTCTATGTATGTATTGCTGTGCTGTGTGTTCATTGCTGACCTGTATGCCTTGTAGCTAGCTGCAGGGCCAGTGTTTGCCAGTAGGGCCCTCCTGCAGAGGAGTACCCGCTTTGCCCATGTCCTCTTTAGTCACTCCTGAAACATTCCATTATGTGTCCTTATGAGTTTACCAGGATTATGGGTTTGCATGCCCTGTCTCCAGTAGTCGTGTTGTCACTTTGACTTCTTTTCAGTTTATCTCTACCGCTCCCACGTAATAGCTTTGTGACTTTGGGCAGGTCCTTGTCCTTTTCAGTGTCTTCATCTGTGACACCATATGGAACATGTGCAGATTCTATTTCATGCCTTTAGTCTGTAAACAATATAGTAGACTAGCTACTCATGTAACCCTTATATGGGAAGCATGGATTGATGCTGTGTTGCTTTATATGAGGGACTGAACATTCTGCAGATTTGGCATTCTGGAAGTAGTACCCTTGAGGGTGCCTAGGGACATGGACTGAATGGCCAGTATTTCTGCAACCTTAAGTGTCTGTTACTAAGTTTTAAATTCCCAAAGTGCTAATATGTAACACAAACAATAATTTAAGAATTGTAACTCCCCCCCCCCCCTCCTACTTCTAGAGCCTTTTAGAAGATCCTTATCCGAGGGTCCGTTCCACAGGCATCCTTGGTGTTTGTAAAATAACGTGTAAATACTGGGAAATGATGCCCCCAACCATTCTCGTTGACCTCTTGAAGAAAGTCACAGGGGAGCTGGCGTTTGATACAAGTTCAGCTGATGTTCGTTGTTCTGTTTTTAAGGTATGGTTTTTAAAGGTATAAAGGTAACATTTTATTGTAGAATAGTTTTGTAGAACTACAGCGATTTTTTTTTTTTTTAGGGAATAGAGAAAAGGGGGGAAATGTTAGAAAATCACATATTGTCCTACTCAGTAGAGAAATGTTACTGATACTGTAGTTGTTTTTCTTTTTCTTTTTTCCTTTTTTTTCCCCCTTTTTGGTTTTTTGAGACAGAGTTTCTCGGTGTTGCAGTTCTGGCTGTCCTGAAACTCACTTTGTAGACCAGGCTGGCCTTGAACTAGCAGAGATCCGCCTGCCTGTGCCTCCCAAGTACTGGGATTAAAGGTGTGCACCAATACCACCCGGCTGTGGTTGTATTTCTAGACCAAAACTATAGCTTTTTTTTTTTTTTTTTTTTTTTTAGTAAAATTTTATTTATTTTTAAAGTTACAAAATACGTGTATGGGTGTTTTGGGTGTATGCTATGTGTGTACTGGGTGCCCATGGATGCCAGACTAGAGTATTAGATTTCATGGAACTACAGTTACAGATGGTTGTTAGCCATGTTCATGTAGGTGCTGGGAATTGAACTTAGGTCCTCTACTAGAGTAGCCAGAGGCATTGGATCCTCCTGGAGCCGATCTTTATTTTTTCTTCCAAATTTAACTTTTTATTGATTCTTTGTGGATTTCACATCATGCATCGTGATCCCACTCATCTCCCCGTCTTCCCATCTGCCTTCTACCCTTGTAAATCACCCCTCCTCCAGGATAAGACAAGATAAAATTTAAAAGAAAAATCTCGTGGAAGCTATAGTGTGACACAGTGAGTCACGTAGTCCTTTAGTCCATATATTGTTACTTGCAAGTGTTCATTGCATTGAGTCGTTGGTCTGGTTTGAGGTCTCTGGTTTTTGCTACATCATCAATGCTGGGCCCTCAATGGGACTCACTTCTCTTGGATATCCTGTTGTTCTGTGTCATGAAGATTCTGTAATATTGGGTCTGCAGGACCAACCCCTTCACGTGTTCCCACAGATCATAGATGGGGTAGATGAAGGGATGGGCCAACTTATAGCTCTAGTTCCGGGTCTGGGTGGTTGCTGGGTTGCTCAGCCCGCCAGCTCTCCTTCATCTTCAACACCAGAGTGAGCTCTAAAGTACTGCCCCTCCTAACTCACCCTATGTAGTAAGGAACAAGGGGCGGGGCTGATTTTCCTGCTCTCATGTTGCGTTGCCCACACCTACACCATCAAGGTCAACTCTACTGTGTTGCCTAGTTGAGACGTAAGGGCCACTCTGCCTAGTGCTGCAGCTGGTGAGAGGCAGGGCCAACTCTCTCGCTCTAGTGACCTCAGGAACAGCTCTCTCACCTACCACAGGCCTCAAGGGACATGGGGGGGGGGGCTTTTCTCCCTTGCCCACACCACCATGTGGTAGATAAGGGGTGGGGCTCGTTCTCTTACAATCACGTTCTCAGGGCCAGCTCACCCATGCCCTGGAGCTGGTCTTAACTGTGGGTGTGAGCCATCTACCATGGGTGCTGGAAATTGAACTTGAATCCTTTGCAGTTGCAGCATATGATTTTAATTGCTGAGCCATCTCTTCAAGTCTCCCAATTAAGCTTTTAAAATTCAAATTTAAAGTATTTTCTAGCCAGGTGTGTAGTCAAGACTTTTATAATAGCAGAAATACTCAGGAGGGTGAGGCGAGAGGATTCTGAGTTTGGAGTCTACCTGAGTTGCCTAGAGACCCTCTTTCAAAGAAGAGACATGTTTTCTATATAAAATGTCTACTTTCTATACATAGTACTAGTCTTTGGGTCGGGTGTAGTTTACTTTGATGTGGAACTTGGATGAAGGTGGTGCTTTCTGGCAGGAATAGGACTCAACATCAATTAGATGTTTCCTGCCTAAATGTTTTATTGATGTATTCTGATTTTGAAATGCTTTTCTCTTTCTCTCTGTAGTGCTTGCCCATTATTTTGGATAACAAACTGAGCCACCCATTATTAGAACAACTTTTGCCACCACTCAGGTACAGTCTCCACGATAATTCAGAGAAAGTGAGGGTGGCTTTTGTGGACTTGTTGCTGAAAATCAAAGCCGTGAGAGCTGCAAAGGTAAGGAGGACGTTCTTGGAGAAGACTGAAATGCACAAAGCACATTTGTGATCACCCAACAGAAAGACTAATTTTAATTCTGAGAACCTTTACAGTTACATTTTAATCAGTTTGATAACCAATGTATTGCTAGATTGTCATAAAACTTTGTTTTGTGTTTCTCGTGGAAAGTTCTAGAAATACCAACGCATTTTTCTTTTTGGAAAGACACTAATATAAGCAATCACCTTTACATATTTTTAAGACATTATTTCTTGTGTGGTGGGGCATGTGTGCACAGTATACTTGGAGGTCAGAGTCAGGTCAGTTGTGGGAATTGGTACTTTCCTTCCACCATGTGGTTCCCAGGGATTGAGCTCAGATTTGTCAGACTTGGTGACAAGCACCTTTATCTGCTGAACCATCTTGCAGGTCCTCCCCTTACGTTTTTTTATTACATGTTAAACATTAAAATATTTGATGTATCTATACATATTTAGCACTTGGTAAGAACTTAAATATTATTTATTACTTGCAAAGGTTAGCTGTAATTTCTCCTGTTTTTATAGACCAAGGAATTGCTTGTAACATGGTAAGTGTGCACTGGGCATGGGCCAGTTTATTGGCATAATAAAGAAGACATAGGAGTTGTCCTCTTCCCAGCTCCAATTCAGTGTTTTTTTTTTTTTTGGTTTTTCGAGACAGGGTTTCTCTGTGTAGCTTTGCGCCTTTTTCCTGGAACTCACTTGGTAGTCCAGGCTGGCCTCGAACTCACAGAGATCCGCCTGGCTCTGCCTCCCTAGTGCTGGGATTAAAGGCGTGCGCCACCACCGCCCGGCCCCAATTCAGTTTTATTTCCTGATACTGGGCATTGAACTCAGAGCCTCATGAATGCTAGGCAGGTGCTCTACCACTGAGACAAGAGAATTTCAAGTTCAAAAGGAGTTCAAGGCTAGCCTGGGCAAATGATAACACTTAGTGCCTGCCTATCCTTGGAAATATCCATTGCCAAGAGTATTGCCACCCACATGTCTGCTAGTATGCTGTTCAGAGTGACAACTTATGCCTTGTACTCACGTATAACTTGTCTAGACTTGGCACTTGGCCAAGAAGTACGTGTGTGTTGGTAAGGACAGAAATGGGCCCTGTGGACGAGCTGCCCAGGTGCCAGAAGCCCGTGCTAGAGTTGATGTTGTAGCTTAGTTGGTAGAACACCTGTGTAGCATACACAAAGATGGTGTATGCCTGTAATTCTAGCTCTCAGGAGGTGGAGACAGGAAGATCAGGCATTTAAGGTAATCAGTCTTTAGTCAGGTACAAAGTGTGTTTGGGGCTGGCCAGGATACTTGAGACCCTGATTGAAAACACAAAAAACAAACCACCACCAACAAACAGAGCTAATTCTGTCTCTTGTGGAGTATGTGATTGTGGGAGCTCCAGAGCTGGACAAGGAGACTGCTCACGGTAGAAAGAGCAGGCCAGCAGTCCTAGTGTGTTGAAGAAGGATGCTCTGAGCCTCTTCAGAGAGATGAATAGGGTGTTTATTTCAAAACTATTAATAGGTTAAAAAAAATTATTGTTACTAGATCAGTTAATGGATTAGTGGATCTACAAATGTAGAAATGATCAGCTTGATTAATCAGAGCTATCATTTGTGCATTAATCATGCTGCTAAGGAATCAGAGTTGACCTTTCCACAGCCTCATTCTATACCTTGCATGCTACATTTCTTTAAAACGAAGACTTGTTACTTTGGCTCACAGAAAAGTCAGATTCTGATACAGCTACTTGAAATGATTTTTCTTGAATATAAAAATTAGTTCTTTGTTATATTCTGGAAACTTGAGCAGTTTTCAAGATTGTAGAAACCATTGATTATTTCCTTTTGCATGTTTCCACTTTTACTCTCTAGTTTTGGAAAATATGCCCCATGGAGGACATTTTAGTTCGCCTTGAAATGGACTCTCGGCCTGTGTCTCGGCGCCTGGTGAGCCTCATCTTCAATTCTTTTCTGCCCGTGAACCAGCCAGAGGAGGTGTGGTGCGAGCGATGTGTCACACTGATCCAGATGAACCGTGCAGCTGCCAGGAAGTTCTACCAGTATGCCCACGAGCACACCGCCAGCACCAACATAGGTCTGAATTTCTGCTTCCCCTGTCCTGCTGCCTCTCCCCCAGCGTACTGCATGGTACAGATGCTCAGTATTTGTCACTCGAGTAAGCTTTGCCCTCTCTTGCATCTCTTAAGTGATTTGCCTGAAAGTAATACTCTTTACTGTTTGAGATCCTAGTTTCCTAATTAGAAAGTTAATTTTATAGAAGATTCATGTATTTGTTGATTATCTTAACCACTTTAGCAAAGCTCATCCACGTCATCCGCCACTGCTTGAATGCCTGTATCCAGAGGACTCTTCGAGAGTGTCCAGAGGCCCATAAGGAGTGCGAGAAGGAGAACGCCAGTGTGAGTGCCTCCCTTACTTCTCATTAAAGACAAGCAGACTTTGTCTCGGTATCATTTCTATACCAATGTATAGGATGTTTTCATTTCCTACTTGTTCCAGTAAAGATGCTTAAGTACGGTTTTTGAAAAGTCATATACTACATTTTTTAAAGAATTGTAGTATATTTTTTTTTTGTAGTAACCAAATAGATTAGAAATCTGTCCTATAGAAGAAAAGCACAAAACCAAGTTTTCCTTTGCTAAGTTCTGTGCTAGTATTCTTACTACACGGCCAGGCCCTGGGGCTTCCTACCCTGTGACCCATCTAGAAAGGGTAGGCAATTATGTTCAGACTGCCTCTTCCATGGGGTGACTTCTCTGCCAGTGTCATGGTTATCTCAGTGTTTCTCCCATTGCGTCTTGACAGGAACTAGCCCACCCCTGAGGAGATGGCCTTTCCCCTTTGTCCCTTATTTGGCTAGTTTGGTCTGAAATTGGTCACTAGAAACTGCTGAAGAAATACAGAAAAGATGTGCAGTAGAGGGAGAGGCGTACATAGAACATTGTGATTTCACATTCGTACCTTGGCTGACCAGTGCCTTTTCATGTACTCAGAGCTACCTGATTGGTAGAGTTCGAGCCTTTCTACCCTTCCTGCATTGTAGATAGGGTGTGTGAAGCGTTTCAGGAGACTTAGCTGGGCCCCCATGTCGATTTTGTGCTTCAGTCAGTAGGTGATCTACTGATCTACAGATCAGCCTGGCACGTGAAGTAGTTGTCATTGACAGACGTGGGTAAACATCCTGCTGTAGACCACTGTAGCCTTATGACTGGGATTGAAAATGACTTTGCGCCGGGCGGTGGTGGCGCACGCCTTTAATCCCAGCACTCGGGAGGCAGAGCCAGGCGGATCTCTGTGAGTTCGAGGCCAGCCTGGGCTACCAAGTGAGTTCCAGGAAAAGGCGCAAAGCTACACAGAGAAACCCTGTCTCGAAAAACCAAAAAAAAAAAAAAAGTGGGAAAATGACTTTGCAAATGTGTACATGAGTTTGGTAATGTACTAGTTGAGAATTTCTTTACTCTTGTGGCTAGATACTACTGAGAAAGCTTGCTATATCTTTTATGTGAGGTTCTGTATCATTAGAAAAGACAATGATTTCCATTTTACCCTGTGCACAAAATACCTAATTTGTTATATAAATTCTCATTCTAGGTTGACAGGTTCAGAGTACATACCTTTGTAACACTGTAACCTATGTTAGAAAAAATATATAACTTGTCATATAGTTATCCTAAGAATACATATGTAGTTAAAATGTTTTGGTTTGTTTTGTTTTTGAGATAGTCTCACTATGTAGCCCTGGCTGTCCTGGAAGTTCCAGGGTGACTTTGAACTGGTGATAATCCTCCTTCCTATGCCTCATGAGTTTGGGTTTGTAAGTACACACTACCATGCCCAAGTTTTTGAAGAACTCTTAAAATTTTCTCATGGTGCAAGGCATACACCTTTAATCCCAACACTTGGGTGGCAGAGCCAGATGGATCTCTGAGTTCAAGGCCAGCTTGGTCTACATAATGAGTTCCAGGAGAGCCTGGGCTATGTAGAGAGACCCTGTCTCAAACAAACAAACAAATAAACAAACACACAAATGACTTTCTCATGGCCATCTAGTAACATCCAAAGATATTCTGTACTAAAATAAAATTCTGGAACTATTACTTAGGAGCCTAGTATTGCTAAAGTATTTTAACCTAGCCTGCTAAAATAAAATAAAGAACCATTACTTAAGAGCCTAGTACATTATTCAAGTGTTATTCTCGAAGAGGAAATGTGGGTTTCATAAATTTTAATAAGGCTGTTGTGCTAAAATATTGAGCTTCTGTGGTTTCTTTTAAAATAAACTTCTATTTCTTAGGCTGGTAGTATCTAGTGGTTACATACTGTAATGCTCAGTGTAAATGTAAATGTGCTCCAATAAATTCCTTTTCTGTTCACAGAGTTAGAGCATAGAAAAGGTTAAACCCAGGGTGAAAATATCGCTCAGTTTGTCACATTGTTCTTCTGGTAGCATCCAAACTCCTAACAGGGTGCTCTATCAATCTGATTGCCTTATCACATTTCAAAGCACTTAGTGCATGCTGACATAGCTAACTGTGGAGAAACTATGCTTGCTTCTTCATATTCTTATTAATCAAAATCAGTTTTGTACTCACATTTGAATGGTTAAAACTAAGCTGAGTCACCTTCTCATCTCAGCGTTAGGAAGCTACTTCATCCATCGTGTGTCTGTATCTCCATGGTCGTCACTGTTGTACAAGTCACAAGCCAGGTCTGATCACCAGCTCTGGAGAGAGGGATTTTGTATGCATATCTGGTTTGCACTGAGCATTCTGGTATGGTGTTGTTTCGTATTACCAGCACAATAGGAAACTATGAACAGGTTTGTTTTTCAGTAAGCTATAGAAACTTATGATTTTAGGGGTTGTTGACATCTATGAGTTGTATCCTGCTAGCCTCAGAAAAAAGTGTTCAGCAGCAGTGCCTGAGGGGCAGGCATGTTGTACAGCCATGCTCAGCAATTGCCTTGTAGTGTAGTGTAATCCCATTTGCTTGGGGTGTGTGGTAAAGAGTGCTAGTTTCTGATTTTAGGAACATTTTAATTCATACAGACTCTTTCACTATAGAATATTGACTTAATTTAGATTTTATTTCTTGGGTGGAATTTGGAAACACATCTACCTTCCTGATACAGATAGGTTCTAAAGTAGTGAAGAAAGTTTTACTGTGCCATGGAAGTTGACGTTACAGTTTTACATTGTTTTGTGTCTGCAATTCTGAGATGTGGTTTTGAAGATAGTACATTTGTCTCTTAATACTTGTCATTGAATTCTTTCACGGTAACATTATTCATGTCTTAGGTACTAGACAAAACATTGTCAGTGAATGACACTGCGTCCATGGCGGGTCTGCTAGAAATCATTGTGATCCTCTGGAAGAACATCCAGAGAAGTCTGGAAAATAATAAAGAGGCCAAAGTTTATACCATTAACAAGTTTGCATCTGTGCTTCCAGAGTATCTGAAGGTGTTCAAGGTAAGTCTGGGCCATTCTTATGAGTAAGGTGCTTTGTGATGATATTGGTTTCTTCTTTAGTGGAAGTTCTGTCTTGTATGCACGGCAGGAAGGGTGTGGTGGCCCTCACCATGTCATGAGGTTAGCATATCTCCCTCCCTGGGTATCCTTGGTACCCAAGGTACTGTCTCAGGTGAGCCCTTATCTTTTCTTTCTGATGTTGGAGATCTAATCTGCTTGCAGTTTTAGGAAGAAGATTCTGTCTTATGAACAGAATGTCCCATCTTGTAGGCACTTCCTAAGGTGTTTGAGTGTACACAGGAAACAGATCTGTCGTATGAATTGTGTCTGTGTTATCAAGGCAGACAGATTAGATCAATTTAATTAAAAGATATTTTTAGGTGCTGGGGAGATAGCTCATTTGGCAAGGTGCCTCCTGCACCATCATGAGTATCTGAGTTTGATCCATAGCACCCATATAAAAGTGGGGCATAGAAGCATGTGTCTATAATTCCAGTGCTGGGGAGACTGAGACAGGAGGACCCAGGGCTTACTGGCCAGTCTTAATTAAATTGGTGAATTTTAGGTTCAGTGAGAGATTCTATCTCAATAAAAAGGTGAAGAGTGATTGAAGAAGATACCTACCAAAAACATGTACACATACAATAAAGCTTTGTGTATGTGTGTGTGTGTGTGTGTGTGTGTGTGTGTGTGTGTGTGTGTATATATATGCATATATATATATAAATATATTAAATATATAAATACATTAAAATGTATTTTTAAAGGTATTCTTTGATAATTTTATATACTTGCTTTATTTTGATGCTATTCACTGCTCCCATTCTCCTCTCTTATTCCCCTCTCACTCTCTCTGAGCCCTTTCTTCCCAACATGCCCTCTTTAAGACTTTTTAAAAATTTTTATCTCCCGAGTTTAATTAAGTTGCTTGCTTCCATATACATGGGTATGGGCTTATTTACTAGATCATGGACAAGAAAGATGGCTTTTCACCCAACTGCCGTTAACTGCCAATAGCTCCTCAGCTAGGAGTAGGGTCTCATGAGCTCATTCCGTGCTGGAATGTTGATGGGACCAATCTTGTATAGGTCTTGTCCAGCTAACCACAGCCTCTCTGAGTTTATGGTGCTATGGCCATGTCACATCCAGAAAACATAGCAATTTTCTCCATTCTTTGACTCTTGCACTTTCTTCTGCTCCCTCTTCTGTGGTGTTTCCTGAGCATTGGTGGGGAAGGAATTGATAGAGGTGTCCCATTTAGAGCTGAGCACTCAGCAGTCATTCTCAGTACTTTGACCTGCTATGGTCTCTGCATTAATTGATGCCTACCTCAAAAATAGCCTTCTCTGACCAAGGTTGAAACCAGCCTCAATCTATGGGTGTAAACCTGCAGATTTAGAAAGCAGTTTGACAGCATACCTGTGTTTGGAATTTTCCTTGGGCTACTAAACAGCTCCCAAATAAAGACATGGAGACTTACTATTAATTTTGAATGCTCAGCCTTGGCTTAGGCTTGTCCCACTAGCTCTTTTAACTTAAGTTAGCCTGTTTCTGTTCATCTATGTTTTGCCTTGGGGCTTTTTACCTTTTGTTGCATGAATCCTAATTGGTCTTATAATAAAAACCCAGAGCCAGATATCAGGGTGAGATTAGAGAAACAGAGCAGCCAGCCACTCTCTCTTACCTCACCAACTCCTCAGTTTGAAAGAGAGTGAGTTCCTGTCTCTTCCTGCCTTATATTTCTTTCTCTGCCCAGCCATATCACTTCCTGTCTCAACCTTCCTAGTGCTGGGATTGAAGGTGTTAATTCCGCCGGGCGGTGGTGGCGCACGCCTTTAATCCCAGCACTCGGGAGGCAGAGCCAGGTGGATCTCTGTGAGTTCGAGGCCAGCCTGGGCTACAGAGTGAGTCCCAGGAAAAGGCGCAAAGCTACACAGAGAAACCCTGTCTTGAAAAAACAAACAAAAAAAAAGGTGTTAATTCCACTGCTCGACTTCTGTGTTTAATCTAGTGGCTTGTTCTGTCCTTTGATCTTTAGGCAAATTTTATTTGTTCAAAATATCACCACAACCGTTCTTTCATTCTGTATGTCCTGCTTCTTCCATGTCTGGCTGGCTGGCCCCAGGCAACTCCCTGCCATCTTTTTCTTTCTTCTTCAAGCCTAAATTACCCTACTTACTCTCCCTGCCCAGATGTCCCACCTATACCTTCTCCCAGCATATTGACCATTCAGCTTTTTATTAGACCAGTCAGGTGCCTTAGGCAGGCAAGGTAAAATAGCAACACATCTTTACATAGTTAAATAAATGTAACACATCTTTACATAGTTAAATATGCTTCAACAGAAACAAATGCAACACATCTCTACATAGTTAAACAAATGGAACACATCTTTACATAGTTAAATAAATATTCCACAACACATACCCATTTAGCAAAGCAAAAGCAAAAGTTTCCTCCTAGGACTTAGACCTTAACCATGGCTTTTAACCACTTTCATAGTACCAAGAATGACATCAATCTTGTGGAGTAGGCCTTAACCCAATTTTTTAAACAAAGTGGTTAGTTATCTCCTCAACAGTTATGCCACTATTATACCATTGGGGACATCTTGCCTGGCACATCAGTATTGTTTCTTTCAGGGTCCGCTGCAGGGAAAGACCATCAATGACTTCTATAGCAGCTTGCATATCAAGCCAGCCTGATGGAGGAAATTTTTGTCCAGTTCCAGCTTGATTTCTGTTTGTCCTGCAATCATAGTGTGTAGTACTGTAGCTAAAGTTTTCCTGCCTGGCCCACAGTCAGGACAAATCTCTGTCACCCGCCAGTCCCACAGCCGCTCAGACCCCAACCAAGTAAACACAGAGACTTATATTGCTTACAAACTGTATGACCGTGGCAGGCTTCTTGCTAACTATTCTTTTATCTTAAATTAAGCCATTTCTATTAATCTATACCTTGCCACATGGCTCATGGCTTACCGGCATCTTCACATGCTGCTTGTCATGGCAGCGGCTGGCAGTGTCTCTCTGACCTCAGCCTTCCACTTCCCAGAATTCTTCTCCTCCTTGTCCTGCCTATACTTCCTGCCTGGCCACTGGCCAATCAGTGTTTTATTTATACAGAACGATATCCACAGCATAGTACCTTCAGCAATTAGGTTTTACCATCTATTTCTGGTAGTCATCCAAGAACACTGGCAATAACCTGTGTTATTTTAGTTTCCTTTGTGGCCTCCCTTATCAACTGAGAGAAATCCCATGCCTGACACTAGGATTTTCATTTAATAACTCATGTTTTCTAGGAGTAGCGTTAGTTACTCATGCAGAGTACCACTATTCAATCACTGTTAATAAGAAGCCTATTTTTAATTAGCTTACGAAGTAGTGACTTTCTATAAGGCTTTTTAATACCTTCCTGGTTTTAGTTAACCCACCCCGTATTTTCTTCTCTCCCTCCTCCCCCTACTCCCATTCATACTAATCTTCTCCACCCTTGATATTCTCTGTTTGCTTTTGTAAAACATGCACAAAGAAGATATTTTTAGTTGGCAGATGAAAAAATTTTATACCTCGGACTAGACCCTCTCATATGGAGAGAGATGTGTAGCTGGGTCTGTCTGAGGGGTCCCAGGCAGTGTGATCAGATTCTATCCCCAGTGCATGAGCTGGCTTTCTGGATTCCATAACCTATGGTTGGATGCTTTGCTCACCCTTGATGCAATGAGGAGGGGCTTGGTTCTGCCTCAACTGAATGTACCAGGCTTAGCTCCTCCATGGGAGAACTTACGTTTTTGTAGGAGTGGATGAGGGTTGGGTTGGTGTGGGGGGGGGGGGGGGGAGGCGGTGGGGAGGGAGCAGGAGGAGGGATGAGAAGGAATCTGGTTGGTATGTAAAATGAATAAATAAATAAATTTCTCCATTGGGGGGGAAATTTTTTTATACTTTTTTAGTGTGATGTTTTAGAGTATGTGTAACTTGTGGGATGGTTAAATTGAACTACTAAATGCATTACCCACATATTTATCATGTATTATACTCTGTTCAGGATTTCCAAGAATATTTTGTTGCTATTTACTCTTGCCATCATGTTTAGATACTGGGAGTTAGGGGTCAAGGTGGCCACAATAATTGAATGCAGGTGAATAATATATATTACTTTAATTTCGTTCCTCTTTCTGTGTTCATGCTTCTTTTCGGGAACTCATCAATATGGCTGGTTTAGCTAGCCTGCTTGCCCTGGGGACCCCTTGTCTCTACCTTCTGAGCACTGCAATTACAGATAGGCTGCCACACCCACCCAGAACGTGTGTGGGTTCTGGGAATCCTTGCTCCAGTCTCCAGACTTGAATGGCAAGGACTTTAACCAGTGAGCCGTCTCCCTATCCATTATGTAGTGTTCTTGATGGACTCTGAGTAATTAAAATCTGCTCAACTTACATTATTGTTGCAATAATAGGACTAATTAAGCTGCAGTTTATTGCACTTGGTACACTTTATGTTTCACCTTGCCCATTTTCTTGTGATTTGGTTCATTCAGTCTTTAATAGCATTCTGTATTTTAGGAGGAGGAAACTGACAGAATTCAGGCACTTTCCTCTGTGTTTTACCAGCTTTTTGGTGTAGGATCTGATTAGACTGAGATTCATTTTGTAGCTCCAAAGCATGTGCATTTCCTCTAATAACATAGTCTGGTTCGTCTTGTATAATATTACCTGAATAGCTCTGTCCTCTTAAAAGTTATGTTCAGGATAAGTTATTAGTCAGCTTTTCCCATTCATCCTGATTGTTTTGAAAGTAAATATAATTCCATGACTATACTTGGTGCAGTTAGTGTTTGCTGCCTAGTGAAGGTGGTGTAGAAATGTCAGGATGCTTGATTTAAGTAGTCTTATCCTCAAACCTGAGGGCCACCTGCAGATTTGATTTTCTCTAGATATTGGAATAATTATTGGAGTATTGAGCAACTGTGGACATACCCTATTGTCGATCCTGTGTTAGCTTCATATTTCTTTTTGTGTTTCTAGGACGAGCGCTGCAAGATCCCGTTGTTCATGCTGATGTCCTTCTTGCCAGCCTCTGCTGTCCCTGTGTTCAGGTATGCTGCCTCAAAGCAGGAATCTGTCCTCTGGGGTTTTCTGTCTGTCACTTGCTCTGTGCTTCTCCTTCCTGCCTTGCCCTCTGTGTAGAGAGATTGTCAGGACTCGATTTCAGTGGACTCTGAAGTTGTCACAGAGAGACCATGAGGAACTGGGCATGCCCATGATGTCTGGGCTTTTAGTCTAATATCCAGAGGGATAAGCTCTAGAGCCTGTGGTCACTGTTGACCACACGTGGCTCCAAGTACTTAGACTGTGCTGTGAGTACATGTTAAAGTGGTGTTTTCAAGAGGGGGAGTAAATGAGCTGCTGAAATCCATTTCTCTAATTCTCTTTACACTTTATGTAGTTAGCACACCACCTTTTTTATGTGGCTGGTGAGCAAATGGAGGTCCTTTGGTCACTGAACTTCTATTAATGTACTATTTCAAAAAGTGCATGCGTGTGTGTGTGTGCGTGTGTGTGCGTGCGTGCGTGTGTACCCGTGTACCCGAGTGTATGTACACCATGTGTATGCAGGAGCCTGTGGAGGTCAGAAGATGTTGGATCCCCTGGAATTGGAGTTACAAGTGATTGTGAGCCACCATGTGGGTGCTTGGAACCGAACTTGAGTCCCGTACAAGAGCAGCAAATGCTTTTAACCACTGAGCCATCAGGCCTTGCATGTTATTTTTTTTTTTTTTTTTTTTTTTTTTTTTTTTTTTGGTTTTTTTCGAGACAAGGTTTCTCTGTGTAGCTTTGCGCCTTTCCTGGAACTCACTTGGTAGCCCAGGCTGGCCTCGAACTCACAGAGATCCGCCTGGCTCTGCCTCTGGAGTGCTGGGATTAAAGGCGTGCGCCACCACCGCCCGGCTACATGTTATTTTTTTATTGGGCAGTGTAGTTCTGGAGTTTGCTGCTTAAGAGTAAACCTTACTTGATTTTATTTACACTCAAAAGAAAAAAAAGTTTTTAAAATTTATTTTTACATGTATTTTGTTGGTATGTGTGTTTATGCACACACATCCATACCACAGAGTGTGTGGAGGCCAGAGGGCAGCGTTTGAGAGTTAGTTCTCTTTGTGGGTTCTGGGAACTAAGCTCAGGTCATCCAGCTTCTAAAATGAACGTTTTGTGGCATTACAAATTTAATGTCCTATTTTTGTCTTTTGCTTGGATATTTGGGATTCTAATTTTGTGGTCTTTTTTTAATTTGTGTGTGTTTCTTTTATTTGTTTTTTGTTTGCTTTTTAGAGAAAGTAAACAGGTGAAGTTGGGTGGGTAGGGAAGTGGGGAGGCTCTGGGAGATGTTGGGGGAAGGGGAAGTGTAATAGATTGTGTATTATATGAAATATATATATATATATATATATTATGATATGAAAAGAAGAAATAAAAAAAAATGTCCTAAATTAGGACCACCTCTGGAATCTGACAGCTGGCACTAAGAAACAGAAGGCAGTTGAGGTGTGGGACATGTCCTTTTGCAGCTACAGTCTGTTTGGTGGGGAGCAAGTACCAGTGTAACTGTGAACTTTGTGTACCCTTGATGCAGTCAGTTGTATCTTGCTTTTCCTCCCCTGTGGGACAGTGGGGGCTTTCTGTAGGGGTAATAACCAGTTTTCTGTACTTGACTTTCAGCTGTGGTGTGATTTCTGTCCTGAGGAGTCAGGAGGAGAGTGTTACAGGCAGGAGCTACTGTACCTTGCTGGATTGTCTCTGTTCCTGGGGACAAGTATCGCATGTCTTGGAGCTTGTTGTTAACTGGCTGCCTACAAGGCCACCTCAGACCAAGGTGTGTATACAGCCATGCCTCTCTGGAATGTGGAGAACAAGGGCATCTGGAAATTGTACAATGTTATGGGAACATACGCTCTAATTGCCTCTTTGTTCCACTGCTCTCCTTCAGAGTAATTTGGCCTCTAAACGTAAAGTGCAAATCAATGACACATGCCCAGTGAAACCTGAGTTAGCATTGTTGTACATGGAGTATTTGCTGACCCATCCAAAGAATCGAGAGTGTCTGCTCTCTGCACCCCAGAAGAAACTTAACCAGCTTTTAAAGGCACTTGAGGGATCCAAGGTAACTACTTGTCCTGGAGGTTCAAGTGACTTCAAATAGTAGTAACAGTGATGCAATAAGATGCATAGTTTTCGTGCTTTGGTGCTATAATGTTTGCAAGCTAGAAAGGAGTTGAGAATGAGCGTCCGGAAAGACTGAGGTGGACAGGTGAGCCCAGGAGCAGTGCCATTTCCAGGACCTGTGTCCTCATAAGCAGTGTTTAGAGCTTACATTTCTCCACGGTTTCTGGCATGTCAGGACTCCAGTTTGTCTCCCCCATCTCAAAATAGACTATCCAGAACCAGGCAACAGTGAGGAAGTACTAGCAGTCTTCAGAATCTTCAGCTGTATTTTCTAGGAATCTTGGAAAGTATGTGACATGAATTCAGTGTGCCCCAACTGCCCTTTGGAGTCCTGTGTTTCCCCCTGTTGCACTGGCCCTGACCTCCTCCTGTAAGATTCTCTACCGAGCAGTCCTCATTGCTGCCATCCAGGATGGTAGTTCACCAGAGCCTTCCCTGAGGAAATGAACCGTGGTCCCTATGGACAGTGATCCTGGGGCCTTGTGCACCTCTTAACTATGCTGTGTGCTTCTAAAGCCCACTCAGCAGATAGTGTTCAGGGACAAGGGTGGCAGAGAGAGCTGCCACTGCAGTTATCCTGCTTTGATGTGGTCACGTGCCATTCACAATGTGGGTCCTGGGTTGTGATTTTACAGGCAGATCTGGAATCACTTCTTCAGTCTCCAAGTGGGAATGCCCTCAACTTCAACAAAGCAACTGCCCTGCATGCCTTTGGTCTCTACTGTAGGCTGAGCGTCCATCTTCAGTACAAGGTAGGCTGTCTGCTTCTGGTGCTCTGAGCATCATGTATCAGCGCTGCTTTTGTTACTTACTTGCTTCTTTGTTGTGTTGGACAGTTCTGCTCAGAAGAGAAAATACATCTGTCCATCTTGAATGAAACTGGATCTTGGTTAGAAAACAAAGTTTTACCTCTTCTTCAAGACCAAGAAGAAGAGTATCTGAAGCTTCGGAGCGACATCTATCAGCAGGTTATCCAGGTCAGCAGCTGGGGCACAGCTGGTGCTGTATTTTCAAGACTGTTTATATTGTTGTAAAGTGATTTAGACCCTGATGCTGCTTTACAATACCAAGAATGGCATTTCTTTTTACAAAAGCACATTCTGCATAATTTCAATGTAGTTTAACATGTGGTATTTAGTTAGGTTTGTAGAACTGCATGAAATGTCTAAAGAGTTCCTGTAGAAACAATGAAAACTATGTATTGAAATTCTTTGAAAAATACAGTTTATAATATTAGTACATCACAGGAGAGGCTTTGTTAGGCTTGACTGCCTTCCTTTTTAAATGACTATTGTCGTTGTTGAACCCATGTGTGTCTTACAGACTTACCTGGCTGTGTGTAAAGATGTTGTCATGGTGGGCCTTGGAGACCCTAAATTTCAGATACAACTTTTACAGAGGAGTCTCGTAATAATGAAAACAGGTACTACAGCATCATTTATCTATTAAAGGAATGTTTGAAAGCAATATGTACTTATAGCTGGTCCATCCTTCCATCCCTTGCTCTCTCCCTCTGAAGATCAGAGTCTGGCTTCTAAGCATTTAATGAAGCCGTCCCTCATTAAATTTAGTTTAGCACGTTTAGTTGGTCGAGATTAGCCATTGTGGTCAGTGATGTGAGTGATGTAGCTGGATGCCTTCCAGGCAGGCCCGAGTGGAGTCCTACCCTCCCTGTGCTGCTGGCCCTAGTTGACAACTTCAAGTATAGCATGATATTGTACTGGTTCACAAATTCTAAAGTTTGTTTATCATTGTCTATAGTTAAAAACTACATTCTCTATATAAGCTTAATTATTGAAATAATCAAAATGATTTGTTTTTCCATACTTCATTCATCACTTAGGAATTCTTTTGCTGTAGAGCTGAATCTACTTTTAATTATTTATAAAGTTTGGAATTGTAGAACTAATCAGAATTTGCTGTCCAGTTAGTCTGTTTCATTACATGGTGGTGTCCAGTCCCTTTAGATCAGGTCCAGAGCTGCACTTGTGTCCGGGCTGGAATGAACTTTGTGTTCACATGTCCGGTGACTGGGTCTCTAGAACTCATCACCGCACCACAGTGCAGCTGTTCTTCTGTTGTGGTTGCAAGATGAGACCTAGAGTCTACCCTTGTAAACTTCTTTGCTCTACTTGAAAGAGACTCATTGAAGAAGCCATTTTCAGAAGCTAGTTATGTGTCTTATTTACTTTTCTATTGCTCTGATAAGATTCCATGACCAAGGCAACTTACAGAGAAAAAGAGTTTATTGGGAAGGCGAGTCACTGACTTTCATGGCAGCAAGTAGGCAAGCATGGAGCAGGAGTTGCAGCTGAGAGCTCATATCTTGAGCTCATATCTTGAGACACAGCCACCAAGCAGAGAAAGGGGCAGCTCACTGGAAATGACATGTGTTTTGAAACCTCAAAGCCCAGTGACACATCTCCTCCAACAAAATGGCACCTTTTAATACTTCCAAATATTCAATTGTAAAAGCCTGTGGGGAGCTGGGCGATGGTGGCGCACGCCTTTAATCCCAGTACTTGGGAGGCAGAGGCAGGTGGATCTCTGTGAGTTTGAGGCCAACCTGGGCTACAGAGTGAGTTCCAGGAAAGGTGCAAAGCTACACAGAGAAACCTTGCCTCGAAACCCCCCCCAAAAAAAGCCTGTGGGGGCCATTCTCACTCAGACCACCAAATTATGTTAATATTAATTATGCCCAGGTAGGATATTCTTCATAAACCCAAGTGCATTTTATTCTGGTTTTTTTGTTTTGTTTTTTGTTTTTTTTTTGTTGTTTTTTCTCGAGACAGGGTTTCTCTGTATGGTTTTGGTACTTGTCATGGGTCTCGCTCTGTAGACCAGGCTGGCCTCGAATTCACAGAGATCCTCCTGGCTCTGCCTCCCGAATGCTGGGATTAAAGGTGCAAGTCACTGCCGCCCAGCCCAAGTGCATATTCTAAAAAAGCCATTCCTGGGACACAGTTGGGTTGCCAAGTGCAAAAGCCAAATAAATTAGGGGTCTAAGCTTACAGACTTCTGGTATTCCCACTATAATACAGTACATAGATTGTGGAAAATCAGGCACCAAACAACAGGGCTATGGGAGAAGATTTCTTACTGAAAAATACCAGCCCAATGAAAAAGTAATGTTGAATTTTTAAAAGTAAAAACTATAGGGAATGTATGGCTGTGTTTGAAAGAAAAATGAAAGAAAATAGGAAAGACTATAGGAAATGGAAGGCTTTGAAAGAAAAAGGCCATTGATAAAGAGTGATGTAAGACAACTTGGACTCCAGCATCTCGGAGACCAAGGCTATCTTTGCTGTCCTTGCCGCAGCAGCGAGCTTTTGTTTGTTGGCAGGTGCTTGGCAACCTAAAGATGAGCACACTGGGAAGAGCCATGGAGCCAGCGCTACTCAGTTTCACATTGACAGCTTGTTTTCTGGCTTTGAGCTGTGCCCTGGGGAGCACTGACTATAGATCATCACCGTTTTGGGCTGTAGCTATGAATCCTGGCCTGTTGTTAGCAGTTTGTTGCTAGCTAGCTAACTAGCATGTTGCATATTTGGTTCATAAAATACACACACCTGAATACAGTGAAATAACTTGTGGTTAAACTTCCTAGCTTTCTAGGTTTCTTTCTATGTTACTGAGAGTACTCACTCTGAGGAAGAACGTAAGGAGGCAGCTCCTTTGTCTGCATATTAGTCAGGGTTCTGTAGAGGAGCAGAACTTAGAGAATGAATCTGTATCTATAAAGGGGACTTATTAGAATGGCTTTCAGGCTCTGGTCCAGCTAATCCAACATTGGCTATCTGCCAACAGAAGGTCCAAGAATCCAGAAGTTGTTCAGTCCACGAGGCTTGATATCTCACCTGGCTTCAGTATATGCTGAAATCCCGAAGAAGTAGGTTCTAATGCCAGTGAAGGAATGGACCTGCTAGCAAGGTGAGAGCAAGCTGGCAGAGAGAGAGAGCTTTATGCTTTATATAGGCTGCCCGCCAAAGGTGTGACCCAGATTAACGGTGGATCTTCCCACCTCAAAACATCTATGAGGTCTTATTCGGTAGTTTCCAGGTTTAAAGAGCTCATCACCTGTCTCATCAGTGGACGTTCCACCTGGCAAATGTATATGAGGAATGAGTTCTTCCACCCTCCTCTGAATGAGAGAGTAGTAGCTCCTTGAAAGTTCATGTTGTGGTTTTTGCGATTTTGCAAAGCTTCTTATTGATTCTGGCAGAGTCTTAGACCTAGGGAGGATTCATAGAGAGCCTCTGGGATGGGAAGTCTGTCTTTGCTTAGGTTTGGGGTGTAGTTGGCTATGGTCTCTGGCAGAGCTTGCTGGATCTTTAGTCCATTTTGTAGCTGAATGGCTTTATTCTTCATATCCAGGCCCATTCTTTAGGCAAGTCCTTGCAGTCACCTGGACAATAGGCTGTCGGTGAGGAGCATCATTTCTGTGCTTTATTGCATGCTTGTTTTATTTTAAAGTGCCTTGTATCATGGATTCTGCCAGGCGGCTTGCTGTCTGGTACCCAGAAGTTAAGGGCTAATCAGCACCTGAGCCATGTGTTAGAGTGGGGCAGGGTGACATAGGGTGCCCTGAAGCTCACTGGGGCAGGACACTGTCTCTGCTTTTGTAGCTTTCACTGGCAAGATGGATTGGAAATAAAAATGGAGGAACAGTGTTAGACTTATATACAAAATAAATTTTACCAGATTATGTACCCAGTGAGGGAGGTAATTGAAATACACACATACACACACACACACACACACACACACACACACACACACACACACACACACCAAAGGAAACCAATAGGCTACAACCAGAAAATCTATGGCGTTATCAAATGATGTTGAGAGATGAGAGGTTGGACTTGTCCTTGCTGGGTTTTTACATAAGTATTAGTATAAGAGAAAGTCTGTGTTTTCTAACTCAGGTGTTACAGGAGTCACATTGCTGTTGTCCACATGCAGCGAACAAGTTCTCAGTTGACTGAGTCAGCTGTACTATTGCTGCTGGGGAAGAAGTCAGTTTTATAGTTGTGTGGAGAAAACAGTTTGAGTTTGGTTCTAGTTTGGATCAGTCTGATCAAGATGTTTCCTGCTGACTCAGTGGTAATAGGTTCTTCCATTACCACCATGTACATGTGTTACACAATTTCAGCTGAATATGTGCGTAGGTAATTGATGGTTCTCCTTTTCTTTCTAGTGAAGGGATTTTTTTACATTTCATTACTTCTTGGCATTCTGAAGGAGATAACTGGAAACTCCATGATTCAGAAAACAGATTCAGATGAAGAAGTCACAATGCTGTTTGACTCAGTCCAGGAAGTATTTCAGAAGATGTTGGAATGTGTTGCCTGGACCTTCAGGAAGCAGCCAGAAGAAAGTCTGCCGGTATTATGCTTGAACTGGTCAGGTCCCACTGTGCTATCTGCTGTGGGTGTTAAGCGGTGATTGGATGCCAGCCCTAAAGCTAAGCATGCCTTCATTCTTTGGTGGCATGTAGACCCGTAGTCTTGAGCTCAGGGGTTGAGGTCCCATGAATGTCAGGACTGTAAACAGGACTGATCTGTGCAGCTGTGATTCCAGAGCTTCCCAGAAAGAATGTGTTTGTGAAGATACTCTTTTCAGAGGGACAGTCACTGCCAGGAGAGTGCTAACTCCCTTCTGCTAATGTCCCCATTTAGAGGCACCTTGAAGGGATCGTGGTTTTCTGTTGATGGTGGAAAGCTCATAGGCTGAGATGATTGAGGAACCGGGTCATAAAAATCAAAGGGACTAGACCTGCTCCTAAAAACTGTAAAGCCTGTTCCTGAATAAGTTATACTGTTAGCAGAGAGGGCCATCTTTTTTTTCTATCAATGGGCTATTATTGTTTTAATTAAAAAAAAATGTTTAAATGGAAGGCTGTTTATGAAATATCAAAGGTTCTCAATTTTATTCTAGACTTAGCTGATGGAAATACTTGAGCATTGTTGACATAGGTTTTCCTAGCCCAGTTCATAGCTGTTTCAAGTGGGTGTGATCTGTAGTCTATGCCCAGTCTTTGACCCCCTGTCGTGTCTTCCTCCATCCATTGAGTAGTGTCATTCAGAAGCACTGCCTGAGCTGGCAATTGTATTTTAATGTCATTCTTTCCTTCTTCCAGCCTTCCTTATTATTGATACTTACATTCTTTTTATTTTATTGGTTTTTGTTGTTGCTGTTTTTGAGACAGCTTCTTTTTGTTATGGAGCTCTGATTGTCCTGGAACTTGCTGTATAGACCAGGCTGGCCTTGTACTTACAGAAACCCGCCTGCCTGTGCCTCCCAAGATGTGTGCCTCCATGCCTAGCAGTCATTTTATTATTATTTTTGAGGCAAGCTCTCACTCTATAGCTTAAGCTGGCCTGGAACTCACCAATGTAGCCCAGGCTGGCCTCAAATTCACCTCATTCCTCCTTACTTAGCCTGGTGCATTCTTTGATACAGATGTGAGCCACCACACCTGGTGCTTTCTTCGATACAGATGTGAGCCACCACATCTGGTACCTGTTTTTTGAAAACTGATTTTTAGCTGTACTGACAGTGACTAATGTGATTTTTTTTGTAGCTCTTTCATTCTGTCCAGACCCTTCTTCATGAATTTATCAGCACTATCCAGTCCTGGTACAAGGACACTGCAGTCCACCATGGTGTTCTTTCTACATTGATTGCTGCGCCTGTGGTTGAAATAAGTCATCAGCTGCGGAAGGTGAGGTATATTGACTCTGAAACTGCTAGTTGCTGTGTTCTGCTCACAGTACATGATTAGGGTTTTCTAGTGCAAGCTTTTGGTGAGGACGGTTTGTGGGTTTCAGTCCTTTGCCGTTCAGCAGGTTGGATGTCTAGAGCCATGTGGCAGCTGTGGAGCATATGCTAAGGGTGTTGCCACTCCTAACTGAGATGGAACTAGGCCCAGGATGTGGATATGTCTGTTGGCTCTGAGAGTTTTGAGTGAGTTGATAGTTTCTCAAGATTCTTCTTTGCTGGAGAAGAAATCAGGATAGTTGGGCAAACAGTGCAGGACTGTTCTGTTTTGGTGTACAGTGGTTTATATCTCTGCATGCCTTTTTCTTTTTTCTTCTCATTTCTTAACTATAGAAAGCTTGAATTTTTAAAGATTTATTTATTATGTATATGAGTGTTTTACATGTGTGTATGTGTACCGCATGCATGCTTGGTGCCCACAGAGGCCAGAAGAGGGTATTGGGTCCTCTACAACTGTATTTACAGGCTGTTGTCAGTTGCTTTGTGGGTTCTGGAGACTGAACCTGGGTCCTCTATAAGAGCAGAAGCTCTCTTAGCAGCTGAGCCATCCCTTTAGATCCAGAAACTTGAAGTTTTGGTATCTTATTTTTCTATCATGACTAAAAGGGAATGGAAGACTTACTAACACAGATTTAATCTGTTTGGTTAAAAATTGATCTGATCAGTGTGATCATTTGAGCTAACACAGAAAGTGACACTATACCATAGAGAGCATGCAGGGTGCTATTTTTCTTCTTCAGCTCTTCGATGTCCCATGTGGACATAGGTAGTAATGTAAAGGAAAGAAGTAGCAGTGGGTTTATTCAGAATAAAAAGATGGACTTTCGCTGAATTGCATATACTTCTAGAAATGTCTGTACTGTTTGACCATGGGCACTCTGAGAAATGAGCATGCAGATTCTCACTGTGTTACACCCTGAGTATGCTTATACAGATGCCAGCATACTTAGTATAATGTTTTGGGACATTGTCAGATACACCATCCCTTTCTGCCAAAATGTCAGCATGCAGCTGTGCAGCTCATGATCAAGTGTATATTACTTTGTTTTTATGTGTATGAGTGTTGCCTGCATGTACGTGTGTGTGTGTGCCCCAGTGTGCATGCCTGGGGCCTGTGGAGGCCAAAAGAGGGCATCAGATTCCCTGGAACTGGAGTTAACAGATGATTTTGAACCACCAGGTGGATGCTGGGAGCTGAACCTAGGTCCTCTGCAAAAGAAACAAGTGCTCTTAACCATTTCTCTAGTCTGAGAAATTATTTTAATTATACAAATTTTGTAATATAAAATGACAAATGAAAATGTTTATTAAATTATAAAATATTAATTAGAATTTATGGCTGTCCTTCAGAGTGTAAAGAGAGATCGTTTGGTTTAAGAAAGTAATTTTTAACTTGCTAGGTGACATAAAGCATAAACCTAAGATTACTAAAGACCTAATTTCAGAAAGCTGTATGGCTGAAGTTATAAAGCATTAGTGGCCTTTGGACAAACCCAGACCCTGTTCCTGCCTGTCACAGCACAGTCATGCATTCTGTACTGCCCTGTGCCTCGCAGTAAGCCAAGTAGTGGGACTGAGCTGAGGATGTGTCTTTTTTCACTTTTCCTATCAGTTTTCCTTTTGTTGAGTTGCATACACATTTAAAATTACTGTTTCCTTTTGACATCTTATTTCTGACTGTCCTATTAGGAAACATCTGTTTTCCATAATGCTTCACCAAGTCTACGTAGTTAGCTCTGAGGCCAGCCTGGTTCCCTTAAGCTTCATATGTGCATAGGGCCTCTGTTTTCAGCCTTTACAGTTAAGGTGTTGTAAGTGTGCCATAGGGATAGTTCTATAAAACAGCTTAACAATGTCTTCCTTTCACGGGGAGTGCTTACAGTTCATCTGATGTTAAAGCTACGGATGTGCTTGGTCTTTAGCTGATCACATTAGCATTTAAAACAGGGACTCACACTTTAGCTCATCCTGGCTTGGAACTCATGGTAATCCCCTACCTCAGCCTCCACGGTGCTGAGATCACAAGCATGAGCTGCCATGCCTAGCTTTCACTGTTCCATCTTATCTTTTCTGTGGACTGGATCTTACTTGGTTTCTCTGGAGCAGCCGTTCTCAGGCTTCCTAATGCAGCAGTTCTTCAGTACAGTTCCTCATGCTGTGGGGACCCCAATCATAAAGTTATTTTCATTGCTACTTCACAACTGCAGTTTTGCTGCTGCTATGAATGACATTGTAAATATCTGCGTTTTCCAAGGGTTGTTTGAATCCCCAAAGAGATCATGAGCCACATGTTGAGAACTGCTGCTTTAGACTGAAACACCAGCATTTTAAGACTGAGATTCTAATCTGGGCTGAGAAGAAGTGGTTAAATTGACTTGACATAAAAGTATATTGTGTATAGATGATATCAAATTAAATAAAGGCCATTTGACAAAAGGCCTGCTAAGTGACATGTCCTTTATTTCTGTTTCACAGACCAAAATGTTCTTATGCAAAACAATACTGCATTCGTAATTAACTGTAGTGAATAAAGCTTGTTCCTTTGAGTTTCTGGAATGCTTTGGTCAGATAGAAGAGGGTCTAAGTCATTGTGAACCAAACTGTCAGTCCAGTCTATTTATAATGTACTGATCTGAAACTTTCCTAGGTCTCTAATATAGAAGAACTGACCACACCACAGTGTCTTGCTGACCTTCCTCCATTTTCAAGGTGTTTAGTGGGAGTAATAATGAGGTCTTCGGATGTGGTCAGGTAATTGTCCTCTCTCTCTGATCTTGGTACAACTCTATTTGTATTTTTTCTCAGTGCCTTGTAATCTGTTACTTTTTATTCTCAGATTTTCAAAGGTATTTTTACCCCCCTGAGAAAAACATTCCATAGACTTTTTCTTCATTTTATGAGTGATAGAAAATGCTTATGTTAAATTTTCATAAAGAGCCATTACTTTTTATAAATTGTTATATACATTTAAATAGTGTTTAGCTATATTTATCACAACTAAATTCTGTTAGACAAGAAAAAAATGTGTGTACAAAAATACTTATTACTGTATGTTCTAGTTTTCTTCTCTGTTGCTTTGATAAAACACTAACCAAAATCAACTTGAGAAGGAAAGGATTTACTTGGTTTTCAGGTTGTAGTCAATCATGGAGAAAAGCCAAGGCACGGACTGAAAGCAGAGACCAAGTAGAAACAATGCTTACTGATTTGCTCTCCATGACTTGCTCATTTTGCTTTCTTATACAGCTCAGGACCATCTGCCCCAGGGTGGTGCCACCCACATTGGCATGGCCCTCCAACATCAATCTTAATCAAGAAAATGTACCATAGTCATGCCCACAGTTCAATCTGATGGAGATGTTTTCTCAATTAAGGTCCTGTCTTTCCAGATGATTCCAGTGTGTTGACAAAAACTTGGTAGCAAAATTGACCCATTGTCAGCTTGACATACACACACACACACACACACACACACACACACACACACACACATCACTGTTAAACCATAACCTTTCCTTTCTTGTTTATCCCCAAGATTACATGTTAATATCACAATATAAAACATGTTATAACTTTAAAAGTCCCAGTGTAACATCAAAAGTCCCATGGTACTTAAAAATTTCAACACTTTGAAAGTTCAATTTATTTGTTTAAAAAAAGGTAACATTTTTTAACTGTGGGCTCCTGAAAAACAAAACAAAACAAAAAAGCAAGTTATATGCTTTTGTTATTACAAGAAGGAAGAGGCAAGGCATAAAAGCAATAACACTTCAGCAAAACCAAAATCTGTCAGTGTAGCTCCAAAGGGCTTGGGCAACCCCACATACAGCTTGTCTAGTAGGCTCAGGCTGGCTCTGTGCAATACCTGCTGCTGTCCTGGGTAGTTGTCCCAAGGTCCTGATATCTCCAATATGTTGAGTCTCCTTTGCAGCTGAGACTTTATCTTCACCATGTCCTCCTGGCCTCTCTCTACAGGGATTCCAACCTTTGGTGCCAAGCTGCTCTCTGTGACCCTTTATGCCTTCAAACTAGTTCCATGTGGGAGACTGTTATACATATTACCATGTTTGGCTACCAGCTTGGGTTGCAGCCTTGCTCCAGCTCCACCCCTCCCCCAACTAGACCCTCAACTTCGTGCTGACTCTGGAAGTACTTTCCAGATTTCACCTCAGTGATGCTTGTCTCTTATTAATCCTAGCAGATTCTTCAGCTCCAGCTAACCAGCATCATTTGTTCCAGTAACACAAAAGTTTTCATTTCTACATATTCTGAATTCCAATTATTTCACATAAACAACTCTTGGTTCCACTGTCCATTTATCACGACTGGGATTCTAGGGTTTGTAGTAATGCACAGGGAACTGAGGATACAAAGGGATTTGCTTCTCAGACTTGGAACACGTATGGCACTCTTTAGTGTGGATACATCTCATGAATGCTTAATTGCATCATTCTAAGAGCTGTGGATTGCCTTTCAGCAGCCTGTTAAATATCTTTTATGTACATTGGACTGTAGAACGTAGCCACAATGCTTTTCAAAGGCCACAATATTCCTGATCTCCTTCTATGCATACCATCTGGTTTAACATTTCACCTGCAACAACCAATATATATATATAAATTTATATATATATATATATAATACATGTAGGGGAGGGTCTCAGGCAATTTCTCATATTACCTGAAAGGTAGTGTTTATGATTGTGGGTAAACCTTGCCTACGTTTATTTTTCTATAAGGTATTGGGATGTGGAATAATTTCAGATGTTTGCTGATTTCATAGGTCATTTTTGGATGAGCTAAAGGCGTGTGTAACCTCTGGTGATATTGAAGGCATTGTGTGCCTCACAGCTGTTCTGCATATTATTTTGATTATTAACAAAGGTGGGTTACATTTTCTCTCCTTCATCTGGTGTTACTGATCGTGTCCTTGTTTGTTGCTCATGTTAGAGATGTTTGGGAATTTGGCCTGTTTCACCCTCTCCTCTGCCAGGACAGAAAAGGTTTCCCACAGCCTTTTCACCCTTGTTCCCTGGTGTTCTCTGAGTACAGTGCCGTCCACTGGCCCTGTCTTTGCATGAGCTTACCTGTTCTGCATCATAGCTCCATCTACCTTTCACTTTCACTGTTGGGCACATGTAAATACACTGTACTTCAGAATTGGATCCCTCCCTTCTTCCCTTTTCCTATTTTTTCCTTCTTCCTTCCTTCTTCCCCCTTTCCTCTCCCTCTTGCCTTGTGCAGCATAGATAAGTGATCTATCACCGAACTGTATCACCAGCTCCCTTTTTAATTTTCAGACAGGGTCTGACTAACTTACCTAGGCTGGCCTTGAACTATTCTGCAACCCAGTTGGATCTTGGGGTTTTCCTGCCTTAGCCTTGCTAGTTGCTGAGATTATAGGTCTGGGCCACTAGGCCCACCTCAGAATTGAATTTCTGTTGGTTTGCCTTGTGTTACTTAGTTTAAAAATCTGGGTGACTCTGTAGCACAGGTCTGTAGGCCCAGCTACTCAGGAAGCTGAAGCAAGAGTAGTGCTCAAACTGAGGAGTTTGGTCAACATTATCGAAATCCAGTACCAAAATTATTCCAAAGTTTATTTTTTAAGCAGTATATGTGTTGACATTATACCTCTTGAATACTTAACCTTTGAAAGTAGCACTGAAAAATAATTGGCAGTACCTGTAAGATGCTCAGTGTAAAGTACAGTGGCATCCTTTCAGGCTGAATATATTCACGTTTCCATATTTTCTGTTAAGTTCTACTGATGGTAAAATGTTTTTCAACTTTAGTACTTTGCAGGTAAAGATGCCCACCACATCAGTGAAGATTTACAAAGCTTGAATACCTTTCACTCACATGTTTAGGACAAGAATTCTTTCAGATTTGGGAGTTCATAGGTTTTGCACTATTTAAATGAAACATACTGACTGAGAATCCCTAAATTTAAAATCTGAAATACTTCAAAATCTGAAACACATAAGTGGGACAAAAGTTTTGAATTTTAGAATGTTGCAGATTACAGATTTTGGTGTTAGGGTGCTCAGTCAGTGACGCTTTTTAAAAGTTTTTAAGCCGGGCGGTGGTGGCGCACGCCTTTAATCCCAGCACTCGGGAGGCAGAGGCAGGTGGATCTTTCTGAGTTCGAGGTCAGCCTGGTCTACAGAGTGAGTTCCAGGAAAGGCACAAAGCTACACAGAGAAACCCTGTCTCGAAAAACTTAAAAAAAAAAAAAAAAAAAAAAAAAAAAAAAAAAAAAAAGTTTTTAGGCCCCGTGTGGGCTCCATAAAAGGCTTGTCTGAGTGACTTCCCCTGATTTAGAGGCACAGAGCACATGTGTTCTGCAGAGCAAAAGACATGCCTCATTGAGGCGATGTAAGCATGGATGTGGGTTGCTGAGTGCCTGCCAGTATGTAAGCAGTGGATGAATCTGATTTGTGCTGGTTGTCACTCCTTCGCACATAGCAGATCACTCTCACAGCATCTCTGTGGAAGGGATAATTGTCCTGCACTCAGCTAGGGTTAGCTCGGGAAAAACAAAACAACAAAGAACTGACCCCATGTGCACAGCAGAGTATGTGTATATGTAGTGATGTTGAGAGCTTTTCTTTTTCCCTGCAATCTTCTTACAGGTAAACATAGAAGTGCAAAGCTGAAGGAGGCTGTAGAGACTGTGAACAGAAAGCTGAAGACATTTATGGAGATCACTTTGGAAGAGGATAGCCTCGAAAGGTAAGTGTGAGACTTACTCCAGCTGAGTGCTGGGTATGTTTGGAATTGCTCTTTTATTCAGTTCATTAGAGCCAGATGATTAGAAACCTACAGTGTAAGAATGAAGATTATGGTCATTTGAATGAGAGTGGCCCACATAGTTCATGTGTTTGAAAGCCTGGTCCCCAGTTGGTAGAACTGTTTTGGAAGGATTAGAAGGTGTGGCCTTGTTGGAGGAGGTGTGTCACTAGGGGTGGGCTTTGAGGTTCCAAACCATTTCCAGTTAGCTCCCTCTTTGCCTGTGCTTGTGGATCATATGTAAGCTCCAGCTTCTGCTCTATGCCTGCTGCCCTGGTCCCTGCCATCGTGGACTCTAATCCTCTGGAACTGTGACCTCCAAATTAAATGCTTTCTTTTGTAAGTTGCCTTGGTCATGATGTTTTGTTGCATCAATAGAACAGTGATTAAAACAGATGTTTCTGTTTGAGGTACAAATGCTTTTCAGAAACAAAAGAAAACCATCATTTGTGAAACTTTACTATAGGAAAGAAAGAACATTTACCCAAATTCACAATTTTCAAATGAGACATTATTTTGGATAATTTGCTTCATTTGAAAGCCACAGGTATTTCCCAGGTGTAAATGAAGGTCCATCTTGGAGTGTCAAGGTTCATTCCTAGCCCATAGTGTTATTATGGTGTGCCTACCAGAGAAGACCACTCAGACTCAGTCTATAGCCAATTGAAAGAAAGTCTTTATTCCAGCCGGCTGGTAATACACTCAGTTGTTTGGGACCCAAGTGTAGCACCAAGCATATAGAATAAGGGGTTTTTTAAGGCAAAACCCACATCCTGGTATCTTCTTCCACAGCTTCAGGAGGAGGTTTTGCACAAGCAAGCAGTTTTAACAGATGCTAAGATAAGCTGGTAGCTGGAAGAGGAGGTCCTGTACAAACAAGCAGTTTAACAGACCCTGAGATAAGTTAACTGAGGCATCTCGACCTTGGGTTCCTAGAATAGAGTTGTATAATTTTCCTCCTGGCTTCTTATCAAGGAGATCAAATTCTAGTTAAACCTAAAATGACCTCAGCAAGTGTAGCAGGAATCTTAACAGGTCTTATTAATAAAAACAAATCTGGGTCAGGTATTTGGGTGAACACTGGAAGATCAGAGAGACAGAACAAGCCACATTTAACCTCACCTGGCCAACTTCTCAGCTGATCTTGTTTCCTCAGACTGGAAGCTTCTGTGTCCTCATATCTGAACGGCTCTCAGCTGAACTGTGTTGCTAGAAGCCTGAACGCTTAACCAGCCAAATGTTTAACCAGCCAAATGCTTCTAGTTCCTGGTCTTCACGCCTTATATACCTTTCTGCTTTCTACCACCACTCCCTGGGATTAAAGGCTGCTTTCTGGGATTAAAGGCGTGTGTCACCATGCCTGGCTGTTTCCAATGTGGCCTTGAACTCACAGAGATCCAGAGGGATTTCTACCTCTGGAATGCTAGGATTAAAGGTGTGAGTGCCACCATTTTTCTAGCCTTTGTATCTAGTGACTGTTCTGTCTCTGACCCCAGATAAGTTTATTAGGGTGCACAATATTTTGGGAAACCCAATACCACCACAAGCAAGAATACAAGATAGAGGAACCTCTGCACTGCCTTGCCCTGTCACAGTGAGATGCATTTTCTTTCTTCCTGGGAAATTTTTGGTTGCTCAGACTGCTGTTGACAAGCGTGTTCTTAAGTTGTTTTCCTTTCTACGACATCTTGGTAACCTGTGCTGTTTTTGCGTGAAGTAGAGAGATCAATTGTTACAGGCACTTCACTAGGCAGTCTTAGTGGGAAGCAAGTCATGCTGTATAGCTGCATTCTCCTTTGCAGAGAGCCTTTCAAAATCTTGAATTGCTAATTTATGTATACACTTCTAGAGTGTTGCTTTTTGTGGACTTGTTACATAGGCTTAAGTACCAAATGCTTACTTGACTAGGATTTAGGTTTATAAATGATTTTGAGAATTGAGATATTATAGTAAATGAAAAGGTTACTGAATACGTTTCTAGCCCATTACTCTAATTTTTATTATTGTTAGTAAAATGGATCAGTGTTAGTATAATTGGTAACTATACATAAAAATGATAAAACAAAATTTAATTTTTTGAAATTTATTTCAGATTATCATTTTTATTTTGATGGTGCTAGGAATTGAACCCAGTGCTTCCCACATGATAAATGGACTCTCTGCCACTGAGTTAAGTCTCCAACTCATATTTAAAAATTTTAAAACATTTGTTTTATTTTCCCCAGTCATCAGTTTTAGACACTGTATATGTGCTGTAACAGTTTGAACATGTATCACAAGCCAACACTTAGAGTGCACTGGGGTAGAAGTGACACTACTTGGTATATCAGTCAAGTGAAGCCAACCAAGCTGCCTTTGTGTCTGGAACAGTGACTTTGAGCTATGTTCTCACAGCTATACACTCTTAGCTGTGCAGCCTTGTTTTTGGATCTGTCCTTTCCAAGCACTTCTTCATTCATTTGTTTCTTTTCACATACTGGAATCATTTCTTCCTCAACAGAGGAATCCTCTGTGTTGAATACTCACAGAACTAACTGTACTTGTGTGCAAGGCAGGATAGACATGTAGGACAGGTCGACTGAGTTCATTTGTAAAAAGCAGTGTGTGGAAAGCTGTTTCAGAATTTTAGAAATGTGCCAAGCAGTTCTGTGTGTTTGAGATGGCATTTCAGTGATGGAGATTGCAGTTTAGGAAGTCCTTACTGCTCCTTGTACCATATGGCTTATTGCTTTTGTAAATTACAAATAACTGATAACTGTAAGGAATTTTAAAATATAAAAAACATTTCAAGAATAATAGGATGGGGAAATTAAACATGAAAGTGATAGAATACATGTGACTTGAAAGCGGAAGAGAGGCTAAAGGAGAACGGCAGGAGGGAAGCAGGTGAAGAGGTGAGGAGGGAATTAGAGGACTATCAACGTGAAAGTGCTGTAAATTGATGGTTAAATTCTTTATATAAGTGGTATAATAGAACTTGCATGTAACTTATGCATGCCTCTTGTGAACTTTAAAAATCACCTTTAGGTTACTGATAATACAGTGAATTGGTGTTGTCCTTGCTAAGCACTACAGTATAACAACAAAAAATCTGCATATGTTCAGTACAGACTGGACTTTTTAAAAAGGAATGTTTTAAGTCTGTTTTGTTCAGTTTACGGATGTGGATGGGTGAATGCATGCATACAGAGGGATGACAATATGAGATCTTTTAATGTTGAACAATGCCTGCAATGTTAGAATAATTTAGTGGGCTTAGTTTTTAAAAGACTTAATTCTTTTATATTTTTATTTATTTATTTTTTTTGGTTTTTCGAGACAGGGTTTCTCTGTGTAGCTTTGCGCCTTTCCTGGAACTCACTTGGTAGCCCAGGCTGGCCTCGAACTCACAGAGATCCACCTGTCTCTGCCTCCCAAATGCTGGGATTAAAGGCGTGCGCCACCACAGCCCGGCAAAAGACTTAATTCTTAGGAAAACTGACATGAAGGTAGATAGTGTTTCCGTATGTCCCCTGTCCCAGTATGTGCTTACAGTCTCTCACTGTTTATATCCTAAACCATAGCAGCACACTCGTTAACAGTGGATTACCGTGCATTGACATATCATTATCACACAGAGCCCCTAGCTTATATTTGGTTTCGTATCTTTGGAGGGTGGTGTAAGATCTAGAGTCAGGAAGCCTGAGAACCTAGGGTTTTGATACAGAAGGGATGAAGAATTGCCCTAGCTCCAGAAGAGAGTCAAGTATGTGAGGACTTAACCTCTTTAGTCCACTGTTTAAGTGCTGATCTGTTCTAAATATACCCTCTTAGACACATGCAGAAATAGTGCTATTCCAGCTGTCTGAGCATCCCTTAACTCAATCAAATTGAAAAACAAAAAAATTAACCTTTACCTCTGCTAAGAAATATCTCACCCATTTCCAAGTTTGAGGAGTTATGAATAAAGCTGCTGTTAATATGGTGCTGGCTAGGTTCTTGTAAATTTGCACAAGCTAGAATCATCTGAGAAAAGAGAACCTCAATTGAAAATGCCTTTGTAAGACTGGCCTGGCCTGTGGGGCATTTTCTTGATTGATAATTGATGCAGGTAGTGCTACCCCTGGACAAGTGGTCCTGGGTATATAAGAAAACAAACTGAGCAAACCATGAGGAGCAAGCAGGTAAGCAGCACTCCTCCATGGCCTCCTCATCAGCTCCTCCCTCCAGGCTCTTGCCTTGAGTTCCTTCTCTGACTTCCCTGGATGATAGACTATAAACTGTAAGGCGAAATAAACCTTTCTTCCCCAAGTTATTTTGGTCATGATGTTTGATCAAATATTTATGCCAGTTTTTTGTGTGCATGTAAATTTTTAACTTGAATAAAGCCAAGAAGCAAGGTTATTGGATCTTATGGTAAGAATATATTTTGTAAGAAAACATCTGCCTGTCCTCCAGAGTGACTATATAGTTTTGTATCTCCACCACAGGGAATGGCAATTCAGCCATTCCTCATCTTCACATGCTTTGGTCAGTTGTGTTCTGGGTTTTGGGCCATTTTATTATGTATATAGTGGCATCTTGTTGCTTTACTGTGCTTTCCTGAGTACTTTTTCATAAACTTACTGTTGTCTCTCTTCTTGATCTTTCCTTTCTTTTTAAAAATAATATTTTTATTAATTCTTTGAGAATTTTATACAATCAAAATTTTGATCATATTCAAGTCCCTCACTGCCATCTTCCAGATCTACCCTCACCTCTTTACCCACCCGACGTTGATCAGTGCCACTTCTTCCCCTTCATCCTTCTTCCTCTTCTCCTTTTTTATTAAAACCCATGGAGGCCAATTTGTGTTGTCCATCTATCTACTCTGGGGAGTGGGGCCTGCCCTGGAGTGTGGCTTAGCATGGATTATTCCATTAAAGAATATTGACTCTCTCTCTCTTTTTTTCTTTAAGATTTAT